TCATATCGATTAAAAGCAGTCTGCTGATCCTACAAACGGCAAAGGAAAGCTCCAAAGCCTTCACCTATCGCCTGTGCGACTTACTTGTCTATCTAAACTTGTATGTATGAAGGACATGTTCTTATTATGAGTTTGCCCGTGAACGCAAATTTATCCGATACTGTTTAAACCAAAATCCACAGCTAAATCTTCTTTTAAAAGCTCCAATTAAAAGCACTCCGCTGAACCTACAAACGGTAAAGGAAAGCAGCAAAGGAACTCCCAGAGTGCATTTCGCTTCCACAGGGGGATAAAAAGTGCGCGACATAAGCGCATGGACATAAGCGCGACAAACTATGCGAAATCACTATCCAAAGGAATGCATGCCCGCCAGCATAAAGCGATTACGTCATCGCTTAAAAATGGGTCACACTTGTAAAAACGGTTCATACTTGCGAAAATGGGTCACATCTGGAAAGAGAGGGGTTACACTTGTCAAAAAGGGGTCACGCTTGAAAAAAGGGGGTTGGTCACACTTGGAAAAAAGGCGTCGGTCAAAGTTGGAAAAACAGTCACACTTGGAAAAATGGGTCACACTTGGGGAAATGGGTTTCACTCGGAAGTAGGGGGTCACAACTGGAAAAACGGGTCACACTTGGGGGAGAAGGAGACCACCTAGGAGAGTTGACAATACGACGCGCAGTGAAGTTTTTTTAACGAACGTCGAGGTGTTTTGAAATGCGATGAAATACTCTCTTGAGTGTTTATAAATCTTTTCTTTTTTTCGAAAATAACGGAGAAAAATGGACATATCGTTTCAAATTTTGTATTAATAATGACTTTGACAACATAATTCTTTTCTCTTACCTAATTGATTATTCTATTACAATTTTTATAGCCGTTCAGTACAGCTGTAGAACGGTCTACGTTGAGGTCTCTTTTCAAAAGGTGAAAACATATTCGTTGTAGATCATCAATGGGTGGGCGGTATGCAAATTCTTTTTATTCGTACACTCCGTGGAATTCCCGCGAGTGGTAGTTTCTGGACATTCGCTCAGCCGTATGCTTGTGGCTCCAGAGTATAATGGCGGCCGACTTGTACCTGCCACAAATTGGGACCCCATGTCCCTTGACGGCCAGAACGGAATGTCTGTTTGCTATAATCCCGTCAGAACTATAATCCGTCTACGGTCCAGTTTTACTGTCCTCCAAGTCTAAACATGATTACTATGTAATCGTAGTAAAATGTATCTGATGTGTGTGAAACACCATATGTAAATATCTACAGCAGATTGCTAGGGTTTCGTTCCATAGCACACAAGGGTTTAAGGGACCTCGCCCCTCGGTAATGTAGTACATTTTATTCACCACGCCTAGCAAGATAAGGACTCCAACAGTCGAGTGCCATTTATAATTGCTGTAGTAGCGACTATAATCCGATATCCTGCGGCGGAAAACAAGAATAATATAGAAATTCACTCGTTACTTTCAAAATAATTGTTGAAAGGATCGAGTTAATACAAAAAGAGATGTTACTTTTTAAATAATTTTTGATAGTTCTCTGGTTGATTTTCACTATGAGGCAGCCTCCACACTACGCCGAAGGGATTTGAAAACGCAGCTTTATTTCTGCGGTTAGGCCTGCCGTCCACACTAATCCGTCACGATAAGGAAGCTTTTCGAAAACGCTCTTCAAACCGGAGGAATTTGAAAACACTGGCTTAACGTTTTCGTGTGGAAGGAAAACATTTTGAAAACGGAGCTTTTCGAAAACGATGGCGTCACGATAATCCTGTGATTTCCCTGACCTACTTTTCCTCAAACACAAATCCAAAATGACCGGTGATTGCTGCGTTTTCAAAGTGAAATAGTCGTTTTTAAATTTCCTCCGGCGTAGGGTGGACGGGACTTGAGTTTTAATTATCGACAATACGTACAGGCGCGTTCAAAACAACGTGACCTAAACACCATCTAACCATTTCGGAATGTCTTTCACGCTCTTTAAGGAACACAAAACATCCGCAACTCTCAGTGTTTGCTCCCCTGAAACTGCACTAACTTCCTTCTTTTGACTGTCTTGTTAATATATACCACATTACAATTACAGGTACATGTAATATTTAATCACTGAAGAACACTGAGAGAGATTTATGAAACCCTCTAGCTCCCTCTCGTGAAAAGTACGATTAGGACCCGTTTAGCTGTGTTCCTAAAAAAAATGGACACGTATTTCAACTTTAAATAATAGGGCGACTACCTAACTTGGTGGCCAGAAGCCTGAGCGCTGAAATTTCAGAGAAGGTACACCCGCCAAGAAACATTACAAGTTTACACTTTGATCCTGGAGGTTCATTTGTATTGGAATCTATGGAGAATGAAAACAAGCTTTAGTACAAAACAAAAAAAGCATACCTTAAAAAAAAAACACGGGAATACATAAATAAGGAATAAAGAAAAGCTCCTAAATACACATTACTGTCTAATGTTAATCACGCTTCCTTCTGTAGGAAAAAGAATTAAAGATGAGTTAAAAACAAACTTTTGTTGGATGAAACTGATGTCTTCACAATCATCCATTAACGACAACATCAAAAAAATAATTACACAACAAAAGATAGAGAGGAGCAAATAGTGAAACGATATGGTTTGCCCCAACCAGCTTACGAAATGTTTCCTTTGCTGCGTGGTTCTTAAAGATAACAATGCTTATTAGTTGGCTTACATCTTGCAGAAGGTGCCATTCGCGACGAGTAAACATCGACACTTAATAACCTAGCCATCTCTTCAAAAGCAGGCATTCCAATTGACAGAACCTAAACAAGAAGAAATAAAGAGTTTTGCAAATACAGTGGAACCCCGTTAATCCGGTCACCAACGGGCCACAACAATTTAGCCGTAATAACGAGGTGGCCATAAGGCGGGGTTCAACTGTAGTTTCATTCTAGATCTTCAAAGTCCAATATTAAATACGTCCCGGCCATATTCAACTGTTAATTCATCGTGTATCGCATTAAAACGAAATTTTGAATCGAAACTGATACTATAAGTTAACTTTGTCTACCCCTTTAACCAAAGAAAGCTGGTTTTGGCATGATACCAGTTTTCCAGAGTTGCCGATTGTTATTGTCCAGTCACAAAGCGACGACACAACAATTCTCCCATCTTATTATAAGACGGAGAAAATTACTACTTTATGATTGGCTGAGAGGAGGCCAATTTCTCGTTAATTTTTAATTTGCACGACAGTGAAAATTAATGCGCGCGCTTTCGTAATCTTCCCAGTCATTAATAAATGAGAAATCGTGTGAAAGCTCGAAGCAATGTATATTTCCCTCGTTCTAATTACCGTGTTACCCAAGTGGAACTGAAGTACACTATTCGGGAAGTTTAAAAATTTTTTCAAATTGCACTTGCCTTAAGGCTCGTGCAATTTTGACAGAATTTTCAAATATCACTTGTAAATCCTTAATTGCACACGATTACCTATACAAATTTGACCGAAAACAGTAATTATTGGCCGGCTACTGACTTATCACTGTGTGTAGATAGAGAACTGACCTGCTCCACAAGCCTGCAGGAGATTGGAGTGTAGGCACCACTGAACACATACGCCATCTCTTGTGGTTTCTTTAGGTCAACCTTCTCCACATCCTTTGGCACCTGTTAAAATATGATTACTGCGGTTATATCAAACTTTTCTAAATAGCAATCAAAACAGCAGACGGGTCCTGTGAGAAGCGTGAGTGGAAAGTCTGAAAGATGCCGCATTGCAGTAGAACCAAGTAGTGACACAGATTCCTGGGGCACTTACTGCACAATGTCTGTCTTGGCAGTGGAATATTGTATGTCTCTCTGTTGTAACCGCTTCTAGTCAACCTTACAAATTTTACAAGTTTTAAATGTACAAGTTTTAAATACTTACTAGGTTTAACCGTTTGCTCAGAGTCTTGAATGTGCCTCTTTTCTAATAAAATAATAACAGTGTAAAGTTAACGAAAGTGAAGGATGATCATCGCAGTAATTTTTTATTTTTATTTTTTTATTTTTTTTTTTCAATTTAAGCAATTGGAAAGAAGAAGTCTGAAAAAAATCAGGGCTTCAACGGGATTCGAACCCGTGACCCCCGCGATACCGGTGCGATGCCCTACCACCTGAGCTATGAAGCCAAACATTAAGAGCGAGGTCAATCAATTGAGTTCATATCTTCCTGTAAGGAGTGAAATGATGTGAAGTATATATGAAATAATTCATACTTGAACTGCGGCTGTAGATGAAAGTGAAGAATGATCATCGCAGTAATTTTTTTAATTTAAGCAAGTGGAAATACTAAGTACATTAACTTACCAGAGAGAGAAAATCCTTTATTTAGCACTTCCATCAGTCAAACCTTGCATCTTAATTTCGAATCTCTGTACCAGGCCCAAGTGGTTGCCCACACAAAAGAAAGCTATTAAAGAAGCTCAGTCACGGCATTGAAAAGTTTAGCCTTCAAATTCGTCGTTTGTAATCCGTGTCAATCTTCTCCTTCCTTAGCCATCCTTGTTCCTTTATGGTTTATCATTATCTCTTTGGTGTTTTTCTATCTTATTAAACTGTTATTTTCAGGTTTTCTACCATTTAAAGGAAATTTTGTATGTGGCCAAAATAACTCAAAATACCGTGATTGAGACCCTTTAAGCAGTACTTTTATAAAGATTGTTTGTTATTCGATTTTTCCCGAGGTTTTTAGAAGATGCGTCAAACATGTACTTAAAACGTGTTGGGAGATTAATGAAAAACTTACATCCAGTTCAGTGTAAAGTCCCAGTTGTTTGAGAGCACTGAAGGTGAGCATGTGATCGTGACCAAAACTCTGAAAAATAAAACAAAAGAGATGTAAAACAAAACAAAATACATACATAGACCTTGGAGGGCCAAATACCCTGTGAGCGATTATACATCAAACGTGTTACATACAACTAATGCTCGCAAAAACCTGACTCAGATAAAATTGTAACACATTTTTTTACATGTTTAAGAAATATGTTTGTAACCTTCAAGGTTATTGTCTTAAACAAAAAAAAAAGAACGATCCCCCTAACCTCTAGACAATCGGAGGCAAGGAAGCTTTACATCTTTGCCTTGTTGCTCGCTCGTTGCTAATACCCTAACTGTGATAACTGGTAAACAAAAAGAGATTATCTCAAATTCATGACTGCCACACTTGTTCACGCCGAACAAAGTTGATTAATGTAGCTCCTTGATCGTGCAAGGTGGAAAAGCTCTTCCACCAAAGTACCTGAAGAAACTTGTGTTTTAGGTTATGGTACAGTTTGGCTTCAATCCCTGAAAAGTTAAGAGTAAGAGTCAAAACAAAGAAAGCCAACGAGTAACCCGTATACTACAAACATTTGCTTACATGTAACGTTAAGGTACACTGTAAGAAATAAGGAGAAATAAGGAAGTTTAAAAAACAAAGTTACTTTAAAGAAATTTATTTTCGAGGTTTCTTGGGCTGAAATGCACTACAACTGTACAAGAAGGGAACAGCCTTGTTTCAATTAAACCTCTTCACGGTTACATTAAACAAGCAAAATGTCGGGCACTTTGTGCATATAAGAACGAAAACATACAAATTAATAAATTCCAGAAACCGCTCACCTCCACGAGTTAAAGAGAGCAAACATAAGAGTTGCAGTGTTTTGAATGAATTTACCTGTCGATTACGAATATATTAATTGACATCACAACCATGTTTACACTTGAATTAAAGTTATTTTACCATTGTTTCATGTTTTTCGACTGGAATTGTTAGACTGCTACACAACTGTTTTCGTTGCTGAGAGCTAGTTACCAGGAGTAAATGAGTTCTGATATCACAGACTCAACTAACCTGTCTAATAATACATTCTTCAAGGTAATCAGTATCTTCCTTATCTTCTATGAGCTCCAGCATGTCTACAACATGGATGATAGAGTTTCGTCATCAGAAATGGAATCTGCCTCAGTATATCAACACCCTATAAATGTACACTATCAGTCAATCAATCAAATGACAGTGCAACAATCAATTGCAGTGTGAAACATACTGTGCTCAGCTCGAAGTCGTCGTTCAAAGTTCTCCTTGGTCTTTGTTTTAAGCACCACCTCACAAGCACCAATATCTAGCAGATGCACAGATAAACAGTTAGCTACAAATTATACAATTCAACAGGATTTGAAAGCATATCTTTACATAATTTTGTGGCAAACAAGTTGTGCTGTGGGTGTTAAATAGGTTATAAATTAAGAAACTATTATAATTTTAAAATAAAATGAAAAACAAAGCAAAGATACTCAAAAAAAGGAATAGTTCTGCTGGACTTCAAGCCATTGCTCAATGATGGTTTGGATGCTTCATAACTATATTTATTATCTCAATAATGATATAGCAACATACGTATAGTCAGTCCTTTGTGTTGTTCTCGCAGCCCTCTCAGTTCATCAGACACAAACTGCCTCATGTCACTCACAGTTGACAGGTGTTGTCGTTTCTGTAAAAACAAACATTTCCATTAGAACAAGATGCTAGAAACATCAATATCGCACCCAAGGTCAAGGACGAGATCGTTCAAGAAGAGCGCAGTTGTTGAACTCAGATATGCATTTGCATAGCTTTTATACTCACATCATATCCAGACTGAACATCCTTTGCCTTTTGACTGAGATAACCGAACACATTTGAAAAATGACGATCCCTGATGTCACAGAAAACCTTCGCAGAAAACAGAAAAGTAAGTTTTTGGACCCAAATTAGGAATTACCCAAACAATAACAAAAAATAAAACTCAAATGAACAAGTAGTAATCTTAAAAAAAAGTATGTGTGGAAATAAACTTGAATATACTTGTAATAGTGTGCCATGTGTGATACCCTGATTGCTCCATTTATTTACTTTCAAGATATATTACCTTTAAAGTATAGCAATTTGCACCATATAAACCAGGCAATACAGAGTTAACTTTGCAATGTTGCAAGCATTACAAAGCTAAATAAATAACTACTGATAACATTGCCTTAGTCAAAGTATGTCTTACCCTGTCTTGGTCATTCAATAGCATCTTAGTTTTCTGGTCTTTTCCAGTGACTTCTGTACCAAACTCAACCACACCTTTAGGAAAACATACAAAAAAATTCATTTTAGATAACTACGGTAATATACTTCAGAAAATAGAGTGGAAAATATTATAATTTGGCTAAACACAAGCAGCCCAAGTTTCCAATGTGATTGATTAACTAAAGGCAACTCTGTGTTGATAATAAGAATCAATGACAATAAATCACTTGATGTTAGCTTTAGTTCTCCTTTGTGTCACTTCCTGAAATACCAGTTCTTTGTTTGCAAGCTTGCCTTTTTGTTTGGACAAGATAAAATGAACAGTCAAACAACTTACCACTCCTAATGCCAAATGTGTCATCAACAACTCCAGCATAGGTGACTTGAGAACAGAGTGGAGTAACAAAGTCTACACCTGTTTATAGTGTATAAGAGATACACACATCGAAGATCAGAAAGGCTGCTTTCTTTTGCAAAAGAAAAATGAATGTTTAGGAAACCCTTACAGTTTTACACACTTTGAATTCAAATTCTCCTAAACTTTCTTGTGATGAAGGTTTGCATTGGGCTATGGTACATAAATAACAAGCATCCACAGTCTATTATCTAAGTTTGTAAAGTAAAGCTAACAAAATGTAATATGTCCTATGTCATGACCCTGTGCACTCAGTATCAAACAAAATGACTATACAGTCAACCAGACCATGCATTTAACTGACCAAAATTTTAGTGGAGCTCCTGCACGCCAAAGGTGCACAAGCGGAGCCCCATACCTTACAAAAATTTGGTAACCCATTAATCTGAAAATTTTTGGTTGTCACGTGACTGTCCGTGCGTACGTCCGTCCGTCTATACGCCCATACGACAATACCTTGAAAACTAAGAAAGTAGCACCATTACCATAGCGACATCTTTGATTTTGGGCACCCTCACTATTATTAATTGACAGCTGTCACAACAAGCTATCCACTGACCAGTATCACGTGACTATATCGCAGGCTCAGGTTTAGAGCTCATCGAGGTTGCGTGTTTTTTTAAGTTGACCGCTGACCAGTTACTGGTTTACCGATTGGATCACAAGCTGAAGTCACGTTATTTCTCTTGGGGGAGAAGGAAGGAGTACTCGCAAAGGCAAAATTTTGGCACAAAATTGACCCCTGGTGCGCTGTTGACTTTTCTTCTGACACATTCCTTGTACAATCATCTCTTGGAAAGTCCCTGATATATTGCATACTACATAATTTCTACAATCTTGGTTAGGCATGTTGGGTATGGTTTGTTAAAATTTAACTGGAAAAAATATCAAAACCACACACTGAACAATAATATTACAATTGCTCACAATTGATCATTTTTTGAGTTTCTTATTGAAGAAAAAATAATTCTCTTTTTCCTTTATCGTCAGTTATTGCAATCAAGAGCTCCGCTTTTAGGCTTGGCTAAATCTATATATTATATATACCTAGACTGATATGAGCAGTGCACTCCACATGAAGGCCTGACATCTGCATCACTCAATCAAGGAATAATTAGTCAATATTATTTCACTCAAAATATTGTGTACATCTTTCTAATGCTTATAAGTGAGCTATTTGGCATATCCAATCTGCTCTGCATTTGGTGCATGGTTTGATCAAACCAGCATCAACTTCATTGCACTCTAGTGTGATTTAATTATAAATGGTTATATTTAGTGACATAAATTTTATACTTTACTTACTTCTGTCAATGAGGATGAGTGAACCTATCTCAGGTCCATCAACAGGTTTGTACTCTCCTTCCTCTGCTAATGTGTTCTTAATTAGCTCTCCAACCATCTAGAAATTATTAAAATAAATTAACTAAACATTAAGTTTATTGACATCTATTAGGACCCCCTTCAATCCTTAAGCCTTATTATTCATTTCTATAAATTCTCCATGTTGTAAACTAAGAAAGGAAGAAAACATACTGTCTGTACTGGGTGCCCAGGGGGGGGGGGGGCACTCCCATATTAAAGGGACAGGTAGCTCATCTGAATTTTTTGAAAAGAACCCTTAAGAGGTACCAAGATCCTGTTTTGTGGGCGTGGCATACCCCTATTAAAGAAGTTCCAATTCTGAAACAACACATTATTTCCTAACATTTTTTTTTCGGCTCAATAGCCTAAAAGGTACTGTAAAAGTTCCTGCTGTGGACGTTTTGAGGATGAACACCCCAAGACGTACCAAAACCATTTTTTTTTTTGAGCCCTAAAAGGTATGACAGGCACCACATCCTTTTTATATGGGAGTCCCCCCCCTCCCTGGGCTGGTTGCCCATGTTCAGTGTGTACTTGCCAGTATTCTATGTATGGCTTAGATATTATATTGGCTAAGAGTAGTTTGAACACTAATTAAACGAGGAATTTCCTTTTTTTTCAATTAGTAACGCTTCAAGTAAAACAAAAATTACTTACTGACTGAGTTAGACATAAAAAGTTTTAATTTACTTCTTGTACAGTCTCACCAAACCCACTTTTAATTAACTCTTTATCATAACATCAAGTGAGACCCAGAACATAAATTGAGTCTCAGATGGAGCAGCCTAATAGTTTGTGTATTGGAATTTCTAAACTGAAGTCCAGGTATAAGGCTAGCCAGAGTATCTGTATTGTGCTCTATGTCTCTCCAATCCAGTTCCTAGGGTTGAAACACTCTTTAACCTCAAATGCACACACTAAGTGTTGCTTTCTGGCTTTGCAAAACACTATAAAATATCCTTTGTCAAGCTTTGGGATAATGTAATGTATTTTGTTCTTTAATATCTTGGAATTTAGAGAATACTTATAATATTATGTAATATACCTTGGCACAGTTTCCTAATCCATATACCCTTGGGATTGTACCATACAGCTGCTGTAAAGTCACAAGAGAACGAGCCACAAAAGACAGAGACGTTTGATCCCCATCCTGAAATATAACATCCCATTTGCTTATAAGGAACGGGTAAATTTTCGGTTAGTCAAGTACTGAGGCTGTAAGACCTTTACAACAACTATTGATTTAATTTCAACTGGCAGAAAATTTTATTAGCACTCAGCTCAGAGGCATTTGACATAAATTCTTGCCTGTAGCTTAGGTTACAAAAACTCTCTAATTCTCCCGAACTTTTTTGGTTAATGACTTATGTTAACATAAGTACCATTTTCTTTTTATTTAATAGACAAGTTTACTTACCAAAAAATAATCTTTTAGAAAGCCTGGCAACTCCAGAGTCAACACATCTTCATCCAGTGGAATAAACTCCAGTTGAAATTCATCAAAAGATATGTCTGAAATCCAAAAAAATAATAATTTACCTATCAAACTGTGGGAGGTACTACAGCAGTACCATAGATTGGATGCTAGACTTCAAGTCGAAAAGACCAGGTTTGAGCCCTAGTTGGCCTGGGTCATATTGACAATGTGTTCCTGGGCAAGACACATACAAACCATTTACATTTACGCTTAATTAACTCAAGATGTAGTTCCTCCTCCCACCCAACTGTATGGATGAGTACTCGTTAGGTAAATTTAATGTGGCTAAATATGATTTAGGCTAAGTTAGACTCAAACCAATGCAGTTAGCGGTTTCCCCTTTTACAGACTTACAGGGCGGCCCTCTGGAGATTTGCAGGGCTGTTGTGTCACATTGCATTGCACGTACTGTACTGCCAGCTGATCATTGCGGATCATTTGCTCTGCATTTTGGCGAATCTTTGTGGATTCTCGCCCCTTCCCGTCCCTCCCTCTTGGTTGCTGGTTTCTAGGTAACTATGGGTCAGGTAAGTTGTTTCCACTGATTCATTCAGGGTGATGGTGCCAGTTAGCAGCTGCTTTTGGGGGTGTTTCCCGCTTCCAGGGTTGCCATGGATACCTCCCCTTCTGCTTATGGCTTCTGCTTCCTGCTAACCTTTCAGGCACCAGTTCCCAAGCTCATCTATTTGTGATGAGTTTAAACACTAATACTTAACCCCACAGGAACCAGCATCATATAATGTTACACAATTCCTAACATTAAAGGATTACAAAATGTAAGACCTTTGCATAAATTATACAGATGTATGAAAAAAGCAAAATTTAAGGTTACCGTAAACCTTCGCGGGTGTCCTTAGCGAAAAAAAATATTACCACGCTGTCTTAGAGACAACCACTACAAATTATATATCAATGCAAAGGTTATAGAATGCTCTATTTGATAAAAATTGTTTTGCCTCAATTTTTTTTAATCATAAGGCGAGCGCGACCTAAAAGCGCGAAACGACCAACGTTCCATTGAGCGACTTTATCGGGTATCAAACTCGACCGCATCAACAAAGCTACTGCATTATATCATTCACGAGGCATCAATCATCAAAACCGTGTGAGGGTTTGTCGATATTCCTATTGGTTGTTTTGGAAAATTTCTGTCAAGTTTGATGTCCAAAAATACAGCGACACGTTTTACCGCGAAGGCCATTGCAGGAGATCAATTTTGAAAAACGCAAATCCCCCACACGGTTTTGATGATTGATGCCTCGTGAATGATATAATGCAGTAGCTTTGTTGATGCGGTAGAGTTTGATACCCGATCAATTCGCTCAATGGAACGTCGGTCGTTTCACGCTTTTAGGTCGCGCTCGCCTTATGATTAAAAAAAATTGAGGCAAAACAATTTTTACCGAATAGAGCATTCTATAACCTTTGCATTGATATATAATTTGTAGTGGTTGTCTTTAAGACAGTGTGGTAATATTTTTTTCACTAAGGACACCCGCGAAGGTTTACGGTAACCTTAACATAATTATGGCCTTGGCTAGTTGGATGTAATTTGATCGCATAACAATTAATATTAATGTCATCTTTACAGTTAGGGTTAGGGTCATGTTTAATTACCTCCATAGACTCCCTCCTGCTCTAAAATCATCTCACAGGAATACAACTGCAAAAACAAATTATTTAACAATGGTAAACAGTTTGACAAACATTTTTAGTTAGTTAGGCCATCACGTTCCTGGTGGAACAAAGGGCGGTTTGACAAGTGCTTAGATTTAAAATTATTAACCCAGTCAGATGTCAAAGCCTGCCTTAAACTGAGCCCTGTTCTCAATGCTTTTGTCTGACATCATAGCAGCTAAGCCAACCATTAGCTCTGCTAATCAAACAGTTACATGTACATAAAACAGAGAAAGTGTGCATCAATGATTATCATTACAATCCACATGCTACAAACCCTTTTTGGAACAAATACAACTTTATAAGACCTGCTTCTCCCACTCATTTTGTCTTTGTTAATATGATCTGACAAGGAACAGAAAAGAATTCATCAGAATTACATATACTGAAATTGACAGATTAGAATACATGTCATAAATTTAAGGTTAAATGACAGTAATCATTGTTTCTGCTACACTGTAAGTACTCTTTTTACAAATGAAATTCCTTCCAAGAAATTAAATGTTACAGTTGACCTCTACCCACCGGCCACAAATTTGGTTGACAATAACTCTGGCCTCAACAAATAGATTCTCCTGATGGATATAAAGGTTCACCAGAGTTAGTCTGAAAAAACTCAATAGGATACTGGTTTAAAGTTATTATGTTTAACCTATTGACTCCCGGAGCTTTTTGCCAAAAACACATTTTTTGGACATTTTGGACATTTTTCAGCCTGGATATGGGCCAAATTAGCTGCAATCTACTCAAAAAGGAATGCCTTTCTTTCCACTAGCATCACGCTTTATGACATTTTTGCTCGGGCATGCCCAGAAATCAAAATTTCTTTTGGACGAGAAAGTGACCCAGTTTTTAGGCTTTTTGTCTTTTTTTTTTTTTTTTTGCCTTTCCTTTTTCTCCTTCTCTTATCTTTTTGCTGCAGTGATTGACCTTCTACTGGGCTTGCTTCCCATTGAAAAATTCCAGAGAAATTATCATTGAGATGGGCAATACTTACCATGGAGTAGCCAACTGTACCCAAAGGAAATTTTGCTCCGAATTTTCCACTCAAATTTCCGAACATTTTCATGCATATTTCAGGCTCCATTCACTCTCTCCGCCCACTAGACCCCATCACAGTGATCTGGGTATCATTGGAAAGATCTTTTCCTTCGGCAGAACTTCAGTAGAGATAATCATATGCCAATTTTTAGTCAAAGGTGATGACGTCATGGCCAGTTATGGCCGGCACAGGAATCAATAGGTTAATCAAATTGAGAATGATCTTCCTCGCATGTAAGATTGCATATTAGAAATATATTCTAAATTTTGCAATGTTTGACTATTATTAACTTAACTGATATGTTCAATATGTTGTCACTTTTGACAAATTTCCAGCATTGACAACTAACTATTCACACCTGTACCCAAGCCTGGAGGACTCCCAAGTCAAAATTGCAGGGTAATCATCAGGAATGTTCAAACTCCGAAGAACCCTTGAAAAGTTCCAACCTAAAATCTTCTCTTGTAGACATGGTGTAAGTTTCTTCCACCCTCCCCTTCCCCCACTAACCCAATGCCACCACCTCCCTCACAGGTAAAAAATTGTAAAAGGAGTGTTTATCTAAAGTGAACAAACTACACAGGTTAAGACAAGATACACTGTAGATATCTTGGGATTCCGATTTTGACAATGTATACCAGACTCTTTTTCACTAGATGATAATATATTTTACATGTTAGCTTATTCTCAAAACAAATTCATTCACCAAAATTACCACTATTTACTTTTAATTAAACACTTAATAGGTCTAGCTTTTTTAATCTTATGTATTCACTCACTTGTCACCACCAGCATCAAGACGATCATTTTCCAATTTAAATATCTTATTAACACCATGCTCCTGCCAAACACACCCCACATTAGTATGAAAAAGATATTAAATATAACTGAGTTATGACCTTATGAACTGGTAGAGGGTCACTCCAGATGGTCATTCTGAGAGATTTGTAGTCATTTAGACAGTTTGTTTCATGGATTAGAGAAATTAGCCAAAAACAGCACAAACCTCCCTAAACAAATGATGAAGTTTAGTTACAAACTATTTGAGGTACTCATTAATATTGATGGACTTAAAACAACAACTGAGAATTAGTGGGACAAAAAATGATGATAATGCATTAAGCAACGAAGAATTCTTTACAAGTGGGTTTATAGTGGAGCACCGTAACTATAGTAACAGAATCACAAGCATACATAGAAATATAAAACTATGGAACTCTTTTTTCATGGTCAACATGGCTAGAGGCATCCACATGGATCGCAGGCGTGTGTGCCCAGTGACGGCGGCCATACTACACGTACCAAGTCATGCAGCCTTGGTTTACAGCATACATCTTAAATATTGGACATCCATGTTAAGGTTTATCGACACCTGTCAAAACAAGGTATCCTCTGACCAGTATCACATGACTGTATTGCGGGCTCAGATTTAGAGCTCATCAAGGTCACATGGTTTTTTTAAAGTTGACCACTGACCAAGAACAGGGTCTAAATTGGATTGTGGACTCAAGCAAGTTTAACTTGTGGTAATCAGGACCTTTTATTATATCTCTCAGTTAGTGTTAGTGTTAGTGTTAGTACATGCACTGTGATTGGTCAATTTAGTGGGCTGTACTCTCCTGTACGGCCCACTAAAATTTAAAGTTGGTTTTGTTGCCAAACTGTTTTGTATTTATCACCAAGTGTTCTCAACTTTCATAGCAAGTGAAAGTTTAAAACTTTCCTATACTCTAAATTGTGTAATAAAGCATGCTAACAACTGACTTGTTTTGCTTTCGAGGTGCGTTGGAAATTTGAAGCCTTTCCAAGTCCGCATGAATAGAAATCGTTTCTGAACCCATCAGGCACACAGCAGAGATATAATAAATATCTTACTAACCTCGTCTTCTCAGTCCATACTGTAAGTTACGGATCCTCATTTTTTCCCCTTCGATTTATGACCCCCGTGCTTTGCACTTGGGCCATAAATCGAAGGCGAAAAACCTTGGTCCGTAACTTGCAGTACAGACCTCAAACTTGGTTAGTAAGAGGTATGTACTTTGGAAGCCAGTTAACGCTGACCCAGGATTAAAGGTTAACCAAAGTATAAATTGTTCTCATATAAAAATGTTTTTCACTGCTTATGTTTTGTGTAGTTTGAGGTTATTCAAACTCAAAACAGAAGGCCAAACAATATAAACAGAAAACCTCACCGCAAAGCTACAAAACTCAAATCAAAATTCTCGCTTATCCTGGGTTAAGCTGGTTATTGGGCTTTGATCAACCCGGTCTAATCTATATATTCTTAAATTATATATTGAAAATAGAAAAAACTACACTTTCATCCCGAAAAGCCTGTTTCGTGATCGCTCACTCTTTAGGGGAAATTATGTATACACTGAGTACTATATAAGGAGTCTTATCATCCCCCTTTCCTCCCTACAGCTTTGAGAGGTTGAAGAGTTTTAGGGGGTAATATTTTATTACATTGGTATTCCAGGTGATTTTAAGTCACAGTTGGATTGACAGCTATCCTGGGCTGAATTATGATAATTCAAACTTTTAGTGGTCACCTTTAGGAATGAAGCTCCTGTAAAATGGTCCAAAGGTTTCATAAGCTGAGGATCAATCACAAGGTCCTTAATTTCTGGAACCTGCAGGTGAATTATAAGATAAAAATATTATTAACTAACACAAAAAGGAAGTTGATACTGTGCTGTTCTAGAAAATATCCACCCTACACTCTTCTCCCCCCCCCCCCCCCCCCTCCGCTCCTTCCATGCTAATATTAAAAGTTCGTCATCCCCCTGTCCCACCCATCTCAGAATTTCCAATGACCTCTCGATATCATATGAAGACTTTTGTTAAGTCATGAGAAACAGTATCACGAATTTTTGCTGTTAGTAGTTTTTTTTTTCGTGAACAGAAAAAGTCAGGGATTAATTATACATGACGGATGACATCGACAGTTGCATTTTGCTGAAGACTAAGTCATATGATCAAAAAGTTTGTGTAAGTTTCTTCTAAAATTCTGTGGTTAATTTATCTAAATATTCTCACAAATGTTCCATCTGCAGCTGTCACAAATATATGTTATACGTTTGAATATATGCCATGTTAGCAACAAACTGAGTTAGTTACTGTCAAAATTAACAATAACAGGAAAATATGAACAATGCGAACGTCTCCGGATCCTGTGTGAGGCACAACATTTAAAGTTGTTGTATCAGCTTTTAACCATTAAAACTCCTTCCACCTAAATTTGAAACACAAACTCATTTGATGATCAACTTGCCGATTCCAGAATTTCCACTAGCCTGTCCCTAGTAATCACTTTTAGATGAGAGAATTTTGGTCCTTGGACCGCCATCTTGCCTCGTAAGGCCAGGCTGCTAAGTTGTTCAGTGAACTGCTGAGAGAAATGAAAAGAGGAAGGTTTACTGGAAAAGAAAATACGTCTTTATAGTTTAGGATGCCTAAAAAGTTTAAAGGAGTAAACACAAAAGCTGAAGAAACCCGTGCACGAAGGGAAGCAGTAAAAGTAGCCGAGAGGGAGAAAAAACAGAAGGAAGAAGAGGATAAATTATGGGAAGATAACGATAAACATGTCTTGAGGAAACAGCAAAGAAAGGTTTGTGTAGTTAGACGTTTATTGCAACATTTTGAATTAAAACGCGAAGATTTGATACCAATTTGGTTCATACACATTGTAGAAGAAGTGTTAGACGTCAGTTTTGAACGGGGAGTTGGAGTGTAATGGCTGTGAATTAAACACGGAAGATTAATATAATGTACACTTATTAAGGAACTTGATGTCTAAGCAAGTACTTGTAAATATATAAGGTTTTGCTATTTGGCTATATTTAAAATTCAAATCTGGCGTTGATGGCTGGTAGAAATGAGAAAAATTTCAGTCAATCACACCTAGACAGATGAGCTTAAGCTTATAATTTGTCACAGAACTGATGGATCATGTGTACTCAAGGCACTTGTTGGCCATGTATCAGTCGGGACGAGTGTCATTCAACATATCAGCCCATACTCAATTGATATGTTGACTGGTACTCATTCACCATTTCAATCATCTCTCAGTGGAGACAATCAGTCGTCACTGTCGATCAATTGGCATTTGGTCAGTCTTTCCGTTGACAGTTGGTTGACACCTTGCCTGCTGTGTTACAATCAGCTATCAGCAGCATATTGGCAGACTGACTGTGTTACATTGGCCAAATGTTGGTGGTATGTACATTTGTTAGCTGTTATTTTTCCTGAAATAGTCTGAAATGTCAGTTCCTCTTCCTAACCTGCCTGCACCCAAATTGGGATAGAGTGAGGATACAGCTAACACTTTATATTATTGCTTAAATGGTCATTATTTTGAATTATAATGTGATATGACAAGGCAGCATGAACTCTGAACAAGCACTGAACAGGTAATAAATAATTGCACCTTTCACATAGTTATGGCACAAGACTCCAATCAAGTGATTGTTAAGTGTCTGCCAACTATCAGTAGAGTATTGGCCAAGTGTTGGTGGGTAACTTTGGTCAACATGTGTGTCAGTCAAGAGGCAACTGATATCATCCAACATATCAGCAGAATGTTGATCGACATATTGACCAAGTGTCAGTCAACATGTCAATCGAATATTGGTCAATATATCAACCTATACTTGGCTATTGATATTGACTGATACTCGAGTAACTGGTATATTAAATACACATGATCCAGACTGAATGCTAAGAAGCTCACTTGAATAAATTTGCTTGTTGGATGAAGCATTTGATTTTTTATACTGTAAATTCTTGAATTAGCACCTGGGGTGCTTATTTCAAATTTAGGAGAAGAAGGGGGTTGCTTAGTTGAGGGAGGTGCTTAATTGAGGGGGGCGCTTATTTAATTTTTCCCAAAGTTTGGTCAGACGTGATCAGGATTATGACCAGGGTTAATATATGTATGTGTCAGACCCTCGGAAGTCTCAGAAGGATCCTGTCTCTCATGAAGAACTGCATAATATAACCTCTTAAGCTGGTCTATACCTGCTGCATAAGGTTTGTTGAGCTTTAGGCAATGATCGAGCAAATCTTCACCACCATCTGTTACAACAGTCAATTTGCAGTGCTCGAATGAGTCAATAATCACTTGCTTGTGATTGAAGATGACCAAAACTATACATCCTGTGTTATCTCAATACTCTTCCATAAAACAGGGGGAGGGGAGGGGGCGCTTATTCGAGGGGTGGCACTTGTTTTCAATTTTGGCTGATAGGAGGGGCACTTATTTGAGGGGAGGCACTAGTTGGAGGAATACGGTATGCTCAGTCTCAGTCTCATTTGTACAAGTTTTTGTGTTGACAAACTTTGTAAGCATCTATGCCAATTCTCCCAGATTATCCAGGTGTCTCCTGGATGCAGACCAAATCTCCCAGTCTCCTGTATGGGTCATCAAATCTCCCAGATCCAGAGGAAAAAAATTAAACCAAAACAAGTTGGTTGTTTGTCCCACTCTGCAAAGAGAGGATTGTCTGTATTAGTGGGTGGATGTGTTTCTTACTATAAAGATGATGATGATGATGATTTGCCCCTTAGCTCCAGCTGGAGCATAGGCCATTGACCAGTTCAGTTCTCCATCAGCTTCTGTCCTGGGCAAGCCTTCCTACCGTGTTCCAGGTGTGGCCCACTTCCTCATTTCAGACTCCACACCCCTTCTCCAGGAGTTCCTTGGGCGACCCCTCTTCCTCTTGCCCTGAAGGTTCCAGCATAGCACCTGCCTGGTGAAGCTGTCAGCCAGTTTCCTTAAAGTGTGACCTATCCACCTCCACTTTCTCCTTAATATCTGATTCTCGATTGGTTCCTCGCCTGCTCTTTCCCACAGCATCTCTGTCTGTCCAACTGATTTTTAAAATTCGTCTGAGGCACTTGTTGATGAAGGACTGTAATTTCTGGGTCATTCACTTAGTTGATCTCCAAGTTTCTGAACCATAGAGGAGGATTGCTTTCACATTGGTGTTAAAAATTCTAAATTTGGTTCTCCTTAGGATGACTTGGAAGGACCACACTTTCCTCAACATGTTGAAAGCTACTCTGGCTTTGTTTATCCTGACCTTGATGGCTTCATCGGAACCCCCGTCAATGCTGACTACACTGCCTAGAGAGACAAAAGATGTTACCTCCTCCAAGATGGTATCCCTCGTTTTGACTGGTCTGCTGTTTGTACAGTTGACTTTCATAACCTTGGTCTTGCTCACATTAGGACGCAGGCCTAGCTTGATGGAATTAGCTGTTAACTGTGCTGTTTTGTCCTGCATTTGTTGGTTGTTACTTGACACCAGAGAGATGTCGTCTGCAAACTCCAAATCCTCGAGTTGTTCCCCCAATTTCCATTGGATCCCATTTCGCTGTTCTCTTGTTGTTTCCTTCATGATCCAGTCAATAGCAAGTAGAAACAAAAACGGTACCATCAAACAACCTTGCTTGACCCCAGTGTTACTATAGAGATACCAACCTAAAAAACTCAAAATCCAGAAGATCGCCAATTTTACCTTTTCGATTGCCAAAAACCTTGTCAGATGTAATTTTCCATTAATTCAACCAAAAGAAATGTGTCAAATATTCAAAACATTACCCTGAAAACACCATCTTGCTTTTGTGGTGGTCTTCAAAACAAGAACATGAAATGACTAAATTCTGAGTTTTGGAAAATGTGTTGTTTCAGAAAATAGATCCTTTTTAACTTGTTCTGTCAACATTCTGAAATAAAAATTACCTGCTTAAACTTAATCCTGCCATCAGTTTATTAACCCTTTACAAAGTTGTGTAAGCCTAATGGAAAAGTTCACTGTCTTACTAATGAAATTAATCCTAAATTTTACCGTTACGCTAATTTATAAAATAACTGAGCTACTGCGCGCGCTCTCATTGGTCGATAGGTGTGTTTAGGTGAGAGTATGTAAAAACGCTTGTGACGTTTCATATTCGCGCGTATTTTTGAGAATTATTTTATAAAAGCAACAGAGCACTTTTTCCATGTTTACATAGCCTCATCTAAACACTCGGGGGCTGGGAGAATTCTCGAAAGTTATGCAAACACGAGACGTAGTCGAGGGTTTGCATAACTATCTCGAATTCTCCCAACCCTCCTCGTGTTTAGATGAGGCTATGTAAACACGGAAAAAGTGCTCTATTGCTTAAATAGTCTTCAATAACAAAGCCTTGGACATATTTATAATTAAATATCTTATTTTTGTTTGTGATTTTCAGTATTCACGTGAAGTTACTTAATGTTATGATTTTCAACCCTAGGATGATAAAGACCGCAAACGCCTTGAAGCAGCAGAGCGCAAGGCCGCTAACCAAGAAGCTCTTAAGGCAGAGGAAAGTGAATTACCAAAGCAAAGTGGCAGTGTTCGTGCAAAGAAGACAGTAGCAGAGATTCAAGCGGAACGTGAAAGGAAAGCCGCGGCCGCTGCTTTAGCTGCAGCTAAAACTCAAAAGAAAGAGGAGGAGACTGCCGAACCTCTTGAAGAAAACCCAAATCAACAGATGGCAGCACTGATGGCGGCTGAAGGAGCTGTGGAAGCCCGCTCTGTGGAAGATGCTATAGCCGTGTTGAATGTTGGCGGCACACCGGTGGACAGACACCCAGAAAAGAGGATGAAAGCTGCCTACAGCGCTTTTGAGGAACGTGAACTTCCAAGGCTAAAACAAGAAAACCCCAACATGCGATTATCACAACTGAAACAGTTACTTAAAAAAGATTGGATGAAATCGCCTGAAAATCCCATGAATATGGTACATGCAAAAAAGACATAGAAATCTTCGTTGAGCTTGAATTAACTTTGTCTCATTGATTGCAAATCATAACGGATCATAAAAAGACGCAAATATACCATGCAGTGTTCCAGCTCTGGCATGCAACTAAGTTTTTTGGAAATACGTTTAAAGTATCTACCTGGTATTGCAATGTGGCTCGTGGTATTGTTGGATAGGTTTTTTTGAAAATACCATTTGTTGTTTACGAATAACCAACTTGCAAATTCATCGTCCTGGTCGAGATGGAGAATTCTGGTTTAGGACTTATGACTTAATTGTATTCTTCGTTAGCTGTACGGGACTCATAGCTTGGCAGTAGAAATGCTAAGATAAAAATAAAGTACACAAATTGTCACCATTTTTGTTCCATTTTCAACACACATTGACTTCCAACAAACATTTTTTGAGACTTAAGATATTTTTAGGTAAAAGTCGTGGTAGGTTTATTAAGGTTTCAAATACAGTCGGTTATCGATCGATCAACGGACTTTGTTTGACTTCGTTTATATGCGGGTGCAACAACACTTCTGATCTACGCGCGTAATCGAACAAATACATTTAGACTCAATGGCTCTTTAACCACGCAAATGTTTAGTAAAGAGGGTTAAATGGCGATACTCTACAGGTAAATGCCGTGGAAGGTTTATTATATGTAAGTTTTACAAATACGATCGGCCATCGATCAACCGGCGCATCATCAACGTAGCGTGGGCGGGAAAGAGAGATTGGGGAGAGTGAAATAAACAATCTAAAATGTCACTAACAACCTCACCTTACAAAGGTGACATTTTATTCCTCTAGTAATTTGCAAATACATTTCAAATTACTTTACTGCGCCTTTCAATAACATGCGGACTCTAAAATTCAAAGCTCAACCGACAAATGCGTTTTTCGCTACCGTTGATTAGGCCTTCGCCCTTCATAACTTTTGTTTGGGGCAACTGTGTCAGCTGCAACGGTCATAAATAGGCTAGCGAACTTTTAGACAGGTCATAAATAGGGTAGCAAAAAACGCAGATTTTGGTTATAAATAGGGTAAGAGTTTTGGGAAGTGGGCGGCACACCCCCAACCAACTTTTCTGGAAGTACCCCTCCCCCCCCTCCGGGCCTGTGGCAACCCTGGTAAATGAGGAAGGGGGAGAAAATCTCTAAGAGGCTGGAAAGGGAATCAACCCCTTATGCGGTGCCAAATGTATTTTTATTATTTAGAGTGGTTATTTGTATATAACCAAAACAAGTATGGTTATATGTAAATAACCACATTGCAGTTTGGTTATTTTTAATAACCAAAACAAGACATTGGTTACTTAACAAATAACCAAACATGAATGTTGTTATTTGTAAATAACCAAAATTGCAAAGTGGCTATTTGCTAAATAACCAAAGCTGAAAATTGGTTATTTGTAAATAACCAAAATTGCAAAGTGGTTATTTGCTAAATAACCAAAACATGAATGCTGTTATTTGTAAATAACCAAAATTGCAAAGTGGTTATTTGCTAAATAACCAAAATTGGAAATGGGTTATGTATAAATAACAGAAATTGAAAATTAATAACCAAACTTGAAAATTGGTTATTTATAAATGACCAATATTGAAACAGTGGTTATTTATATTTAAGAAAAATGGTTATGAAAATTGGTTGTTTATAAATAGGCAAAACTTGATTTTTTCCAGTGTCCGCAAATTACAAATTGGTTATTTGTAAATAACCGAAATTGAAAATTGGTTAGTACTTCCAGGAACAACGGAAAACGGAACACTGGAGCACCGGAACATCCCGGAACATCATGGAACATTCCGGAACACTGGAACATTCCGGAACATCCCGGAACATCACGGAACATTCCGGAACACCGGAACATCCCGGAACATCACGGAACATTCCGAAACACCGGAACATCCCAGATCATCACGAAACATTCCGGAACACCGGAACATCCCGGAACATCACGGAACATCCCGGAACATCCCGGAACATCACGAAACATTCCGGAACACCCAAAAAACCCTGGGACACCACTTAAGACCCAGAACACTCCCCAAAAAACCCGGAACACCTTAGAAAACCAGGAAAAGTGCAAAATCTAAAACAAAAATAAAATAAAAATTAAAAAATGAAAGAGGACGCGAAGTAATATGAAAATAAGAACCATGAATAGGAACAATTTAAAAGACCCAAGACACGAGGCTCTGATTTACAATTGCTCTACCTTTCGTTGGTTTCTTCAATGAAACAACCCTCTCTTGGCAACTTAAACATCTTTTCAGTACAACTTAAAACGTCAAGCACTATCGAAAGAGGAAGCCACTTTAACATCATGAGTTGATCCTAAGATGATTATACAAAAATGTTTCTAAACTTGTTAGTGTTTAATGGAAACGATGTCAAGCAAATTAGTTACAGCGTACAGGTGTTACACGAAAAGATTTGCAAGATATGTTCGAATTCATTTTCATCATTAGTTAACTTTTATTTTTCATTTTTGACTTATTACCATGCAAAACATATCTAAAACAAAGAATAATAAAGTGGAAGCAGATATAAAATTGAACTTCAACAGCTGTATAAACCGGTCAAACAAAGCACAGAAACATGAAAAAAATCGATTAATGACATGAATTAAATATAACAGGCTCTCAGACCGAACTCTTTTGTAATGTACTTTTTGTGGCACTCTGTGAGAGGCAATCCGTCGGGGATGACCAACGAACACGGCACAAATGACGGCTCAGCTGCTTGAATGCACGCAACCTGAAGATGATAATGTGCATCCGATTCCCGAGGAGGCATGCATAACATGGCTGTATTTAAAAAAAACTACGCATGTACACATCTAAAACTTGCTGTCAATCTGCTTGGATTGTATAAGTATTTACAGTATAGTGTCTGCTTTGTTCACTGGATTTGGTGTTTATTCCACATTTAATCCGCATTTCAACTATATGAAATTAATGTAGTCACAAACATTTTCATCACCTAAGGGCATATTACGAACCAGCAAAATGATCAGCTCCCAGTTGGCTTCCCAGCTCAGTAGGTAGAGCACTGTACCGGTGTCGCAGGGGTTGCAGCATCGCAGATGATGCTATTGTATTGGCTCGATGAGAAGAATTGTAGAGATGGCAGACACAACCCTGAGTGCCTTCTCGGTTTAATGAAGTTGTCAGATAATACGCCTGTTAACTAATCTAAATGTTTATGACTATCTTTTGTATTGTACATTCCACAGTGTTAACGCGTTTTAAAGCAAAATGGGTTTTCCAAGAACAGCAGGAAGATGACTGAATTTCTTATATTAATGAGTATCTTGCATTTTTAACGCTTCAAAGCAAAAGGAAAACATATCTATATTCTGCTTACACTTGGAATTAGTTCCTGTAAGAGAGGATAGACTGCGGGAAGCCGGTAAAAAATATGTGACTGTGTGCGTGGCGCTTGTAAATGTTTTCGAGATTGTGATGGTGAAATTATTTTATGTGCAAACAGTGGATGTAGTTTAGAAAAGCTCACGCGCGCGTGATGTATTTAATTTTTTTAATGTTAACATATTTGTGCAATCTGGTTTTAGAGATTTTCCGCTCTTCTTGGTATTTTGGGAAGTGTTCCAGTTTTTTTGAGGGGGGTGTTCCGGGTTTTTTTTTGGGGGGGGNGGGGTGTTCCGGGTTTTTTGGGTGTTCCGGAATGTTCCGTGATGTTCCGGGATGTTCCGGTGTTCCGTATTCCGGTGTTCCTGGAAGTACTGCATGCCCTACAATTTTAATTATAAATTTTCAATTTTTGTTACTTATAAATAACCCATTTTCAATTTGGTTATTTAGCAAATAACCACTTTGCAATTTTGGTTATTTACAAATAACCAATTTTCAGTTTTGGTTATTAAGCAAATAGGTAAAGTCTGCTTACGAGCCAAGTGGCCCATCAGGCCGGAGCTTATCCCAGTTTCTGTAGCATGAAGCGACTAGGAGTATTTCTACTCCCCCCTGGATGGGATGCTAGTCCATCGCAGGGTTACCCCCAGCATTAAGTTTGCCGGTACCCATTTATACACCTGGGTGGAGAGAGGCACTGTGAGAGTAAAGTGTCTCGCCCAAGAACACAACACTATGTCCCCGGCCAGAGCTCGAACTCGGACCGCTCAATCCGGAGACGAGCGCACTAACCATGAGGCCACCGCCTTCGCAATTTTGGTTATTTAGCAAATAAACACTTTGCAATTTTGGTTATTTACAAATAACCAATTTTCAGTTTTGGTTAGTTAGCAAATAACCACTTTGCAATTTTGGTTATTTACAAGTAACCAATTTTCAGTTTTGGTTATTTATCAAATAACCACTTTGCAATTTTGGTTATTTACAAATAACAGCATTCATGTTTTGGTTATTATAAATAACCAAACTGCAATGTGGTTATTTACATATAACCATACTTGTTTTGGTTATATACAAATAACCACTCTAAATGATAAAAATACATTTGGCGCCCCATAAACCCCTGGGTATTTAATTTTACAGACTGGGATGAGTGATTGGGGATTGATGGGAAACCCCAATCACATAAGTTTAGTTCAAAATGCCTTATGCATTCGTTAACATATCATCTCAATGAAGTACAAGTAATATTCAGTGAAGTTCTTTTTGCTTTAATAATTTGTTAGAAAACTATATTGCTTTTGAAGTTTTAAACAGTTGTGGAAAAGTGAGGGTAATCAGTAAAAGAAGCACTTGTTCAATAAACAGATGAAAATAAAACAGTTCAGATAAGTAACCTGATTACAGTGGAGTATTTCACTGCAGACCGAATCAACGGACCAAAAGGTGAGCAAGAGATATCAGAAGCTCGCTCAGAATACAGCTTTTAAATAAGTGGTAAAACAAAGCTCATATATTATGGACATGAAACTTACAAGGTCACCTTGACATGAGAAATACATGATAGATAGCTTGTTGCAAGTTCACAGATAGAAATGAATGGGTAAATCCTTGAGCTTGAAAAACAGAACGTTCTTGGTTGCTAAGCCTGTTTCCCTTTTTACCTTGTAAATAACTGCTAAACACCTTGCAAGATTGTTTTAAGGGATGCTATTTTGTTGAAGATTATCCAAAAGCCTGGCTTACAATCTGACAGCTTGGAACAGTATACCTAATACAGAGAGACTTCAAATGCATTTACTTGGCCTTTAAAATATACTTTCCTCAATTCAGTTGGGTTATGCAGGCATTTAAAATGCCCTACAAAAACTCCTGGTAGTCTAGAGCATTGAATAAATTTGCCAATTTTCACTTGTTACTTATTATTATTTTATGATTGTCTTTTGTTTTGTAACAAAGTACACAACTTGGTACGTGCACTGCTTACTTAATACCAAATTTACATCTATGGATGTCAGAGAACAGGAAATATGAATTTTGTCCTGGGTTAGCCAGTATTGGATTCTACGCAATGCTCTTTCAAATGGTAAGGAGAAGCATTGTGTGACAAGCCAATAATGGTTGTGTTGCTAGATAACTAATGTTCTGAAAGCAGAGTCTCCTTGATCTTCCTCGAAAAATTGGGAAGAAGGAGACTCCTTTCTCTTCCTGATTTTTCTAGGAAGATCAAAGGAGACTGTGCTCGCAGGGTAGATAACACTATGAACTGCCAACATTAATCTCTTCAATTCTGTCACAAAAGCAAAACTGGTCTTCACATATATTTACGGTATGCAGATCAATCTAGCCTTACAGAGATGTCTGCCTTATAATGAGACAAACTATGTAAAAGACTACACCCATGTGCTGGCTTAAGAAAGAAAAGTACTAAGCTACCTGTCATTAAGAAAAAGTTGAATTTAACAAGTCTTCTTGTAGATCATGTTATCTCATGTGAAACACTACTAGATAAATACAGAGCTTTTAAACAAATTATATTGTGTACTGGTCAGCAGACGGATCAGTGGTAGAGAGGGACTTAGAAATATCCCATATCTTCATTATTTTTAATTACTTAATAAATATGCTCAACTTGTGTTGTATTTTTAAGCATACTGCATCAGCACCTAAATTGTTAATTACACAACAGAGATGCTGACAAGAGTAAGAGAAAACAACACGATCCAGGTCAGCATTGACAGCATTTGAGTACTGCCATGTGAGTTCCATATTCTTCAGAGTCTGTGAACTTGATTTGTTAAATCATTTCACATAAAGTCATCAAATTCATCTCCATAATCATAATTTCCTGCACCAAATGCATCCAAGTCCTCTTTTCTACCAGCTTTGGCACTAGTTCCTGAAAGCGTGGCTTTCTTACCAGTCTTTTTACCTTTCTTTGCCTGAAAAAAGAGTACCAAATAACTTAAGACCTGATATTAATCTCACTTGAATCATGTTACATATTAAATGACACGAACATGAATAGCAGTGTGAACAAAATGTAGGTCAATTATCAACTTAATGTCTGCCAGTCTGATTTGTTTAGTCTGATATGGTCTGATGAAACAGCACATGAACACTAAGCAGTTTATCTTGAAGTTGGTAAAGGTAAATTTACCATGGCAGCAAGTTGGTAAAGCCATGGGATTCATTAAGGGCCGTGCACCAGGCAAATTGACAGGCTGCAAGGATGACTTTGCCTGCCTGGTTTCACCATCTAGTGGGGAGTTTTTCTTATAAATAAGTTCAGTTCAAGTAGTGTAGTTTTGCCCGACTGTGAAAACAAGTTACCCTCCTACTGAAAACACTAATGAAACTCTTTGTAAAGCAAGCATTTCAAGATTTAGCCCTTCAGCTCTTTGCTGTGTCATGAAGGGCTGAACTTGAATCCTTACAACTGGTTAATCAATTTGCTCTTTCTCCCAACACAGTATGACTCACCTTTTGTGCTTTTAATTTTTCTGTTGATAAGATATTTATTGCACTACCTAAACGTTTAACATCTTCAGCTTCCACTAGAAAAAAATTATGACATTTATTTAGTTAGAAGATATGGAGATGGTTCCCTATAATTGTTTAGACTATGTCAGAATGGTGAATACATGACAAGTTTTTAAACCTAATTGCATGGCCAAGTAAGCAGCCCCTCTTTTTGTCATAGTCTATCGAGAGTGAAATGATGCATGAAAGAATAATTAGTTACGTATTCCACAAGGAGCATGCAATTTCAAAGAATTACTTACAGCCTGCACATAAATCTCTAAAAAGCATTTCCAAGAAGGGAACATAATCTGCACTTGACTGAAAAAAAAGAAGCAAGATGAATGTATTCCAAACAGTAAGCATTCTTAAAACCACTCAAGCAACCAATTGCATTTTTCAATTCTCCCAGACCATGAGTGGAAAACAAATGCCAAAAGGAAATTCAGGAACCAAAACAGGGTTGCGCTCTAGAAGCGCCCAGGTGCCACAGGCAACTAAGCCTTTGGACAGCTGGGAAAAGTGCTGGGCACCCAGGATTTGAGGGTTAGAAAACTTTGGGCTTCTCATGATAATTATTAACCACTGCCTTGCAAAATGTGTTTTAGACTCTCTTCTTGGTGTTGAGAAATCTGATCAAACAGTACAGTCTCTCATATTTGATATATTACTTCACAATGTATGACTGTTACCTCATAATTGGATAATTTTCCTACAATTAATTGACTCAGTTCCACAAATTCTTCTTTTGTGTTGGGATTCATTTCATCTATGCTTTTGGATCCTACATCATCCTTTATACCTGAAAGATTTGAGGAAAAAAAAGATAAAACTTCTGCAATAATGATAATACTTTAAAGTGACATAAATCTCATGTTGCCTATGTAGAGTACAAACATATATGAATAAACGTAAATGAATACAACAATGTCAATGAAGGGAAAACTGTCATGCAACTTTGGTAAACACGACCACTACATTGGCAGACAGGCCTCACTGACAGTAATGTGATATTAATTATTTTTACCAAGAACAGACCCTGTAGATGTGAGAACTCAGTCATGTAAATGGCAAATGTAAAATATATCAGCCTCTTGGATATCTCATTTCAGTTGCATTAGTTCCAAGAATATCAAGGAACATAGTTATTAGAACCCGTGATGGTAAATGTTTGGCTCAGTCATACTGTATTTTTTGCATACTTACTGAGTAATTTCTTATTGTAGCTTATCATGAGCATGGGGCAAAGAAAAACTTCTGGGTTCCAAATAAGAATCAAATCTCTGACCTCCTGCAGGAGGTGCTTGGATGCTCTAACCACTTAGATACAGGAGACTTGGGGAGGACTAGGCAATTTACATGTGCAATATCTCCTATACTGCTAGGATGTTCCGTAAATTGTCAGAGTAAATGTCCAGCAAGACAACATGACACCCCAGTTTATGTCTCTCTCTGCTTGATCCTTAAGCATAAATTAACTGTCAACTCACCAAAGGCCTGTTTTGCTATTTCCAAGTCTGACTCCTCTACCAATCTGAAAACACAGGTACAAACAATCATCACTGTTTTGATTTCAACCATTGATCGTTGGAGGTGATGACATGCTGATCAATGATTGTTGTTGCCAAAAACAACATGAAAACTATCAGGTTCAAGTATTCCCCCACTACAGTCGAACCTCGATTATCCGGACTTGTAGGGACCTCGGTGAATAGTCCGAATAATCGAGAGTCCGGATAATCGAAAACATGTTTATTAATGAGATAGAAATGTAAACAAAAGGTATACAGCAAAGAAAACATCATTATAATTGTGAAATCTAAACAGCCTGTATGTATTTAGAAGTAAAAACTTTCAGTTCAGGTATTCACAAAGGTCTAAAATGTTCAAGCATGTTTGTTTGCTTCAAAGACTTCTAGCTTGATCAGGGACTTTCATTTTAATCCTTCGCTTGTCTCGATGCTGTCAGCAAATTTTAGCATCTTGTCTTTGTTCTTCCGTATGTCGGTGATCTGCTGCTTGCTGATGCCAAATACTTGAGCTAAATTTGTTCCTTTCTCTCCTTTATCCAAACGTGAAATAATTATCTGCTTATCTTTAGTCGATAGAATGGCTTGCTTTCGCTTCGTAGACATGTTTTTTGATTTGAGTTTACGATCGATCGTTCGTGTTTACATAACCCACGTGAAAGGAACTAATCAAGCATGAAATTCCCTTGGTAACAACACAATTGAGCCAATCAGATATCAGCTGAATGCATCAGAATACTTCTTTGTGTCGTCGCACTTGTGAATTTTGAAAAGCACACAGGATAATACACTGTTTCAACAGTCTTTTGAAAGGATTATTGGGCTTTTTGTAACTTTGAGTTTTCAATATCACAACTAATTAATATTCATGAAAAAATTGGGACCAGAGAAAAAAGTCTGGATAATTGAATAGTCTGGATAATCGAGGTCCGGATAGTCGAGGTTCAACTGTAGCAATGTAGCCAATTAATTAATGGCTTCTTGATTTCAATCTTTGACTCTATTTTATTATAATCCACTCTTCAAATTTGAATTGATATCTAGCTTCATATGACATTTTTCATAATTAAAATGAATCTAGGTCAACAACATTTTTTCTGTTTCTCTTCACCAATGACCTTTCGTTATCATCTCGATTACACCTAAATATCTTCCTACATTTTGGTATTAAGAGAGCTTTGCTTTCTAGTTAGCTAGAATGGTACAGGATTCAAGGCAACCATTGATACACCATAATTTCCAAACAAAAAATAGAAATGAAACTGTACAGTATGAAATCACTCACTTCTGTCTTTTAAGCTTTTCTGCTAGTTTGTCTTCTTCTGTTGGTTCCTCCTATAAGAAAGAAAGACAAATAGTTTAGAAAATCTTTTTGTCTTGTTCTGCAGAAGGTCTATTTCACTATGTTCCTAAAACAACTTGTCAGAAAACATCATACTATCATATCACTGGAATCCTTAAAAAAGAAACCAGTCTGTAACAATAATTGTACAAGCTGTATGAAACAGTAATCCTTTCTATGGGTAGGTACTAGCACCAGCTTTTTATATTTATATAAAGACAAATCCTTGGAACTAGGACTGAGAAATATTCAAAACACCTTTGGAAATCTATGAAATGTCCTCAGAAATCTTCAGATGGCTTCAAATATGCATGGTCAGGTCTTCGCAAATCCTGGCACTCCTGCGATAAATATCGCACACGTGTGACTCAGAAAGAGCTGCTGGATATGCTGTGGCTACAATATATCAGTTTATTACCTCTTTCACAGATTTAGCTTCCTCCAATCTTCTAAGAGCTTGATCTTTAGCCTTTTCCTCCTTTTCTTGTAGGGCTTGCTTTAATGTTTTTCTTTTCTTTACTTTAGCTGGAGGAGCAGCTTCTGCATGGTTGGTAAAATAAATCTTTATAAATCTCATAGAAGACACAAAGTGTACATATCAGCTCTCTAAAAAGCCAATGAGTGCTAATTTTCATTTTTTTTTTTTCTTTTAATAAAGTTATTCCAGATTTTTTAACCAAATGTTTACATTCCCAATAGAATACCTGCAACTAGCCTACTCTGGAAAGAAAACCTTCATTATGAACTGTCCAGATACAAACCTCTCTACTATGAACACAGAAAGGACAGAGCAAAGCGCCCATATTAGAGAGGTGTCTGTATTATGGAGGGTACCACAATGATGTCTCTTTTAAGACCTTTCTTTTGACGAAAATAAGTGAGAATTTTGTTGGGACATAAGAAACTGTCTGAAATAAGGGGTGTCTACATTGGAAAAGTGTCTGTAGGGACACTTGATGGGATTTCATTAATTTTTACTCTGAATTGCTTTAAAAATGTCATTCAAATACCTTACTACAACCACAGTAACTATGATTACATACCTGACTAAAAATTCTACTATTTCAATTTAATTTTAAATAAGCGATCTCGTCAATTTGTAAACATGTGTATGTGTGTATGTTTGGCTTAATTATCAATTTATTTATTTAATTATTTAAACGTTATAAGCTTATTATTATAAGTATTCTTCACCTAAAGTTCATGACCATCTTAACTCGAAACCTTTGATTTAAAACAGAGTTTTTCCGAGAAGAATTGAAATTGAGGCGATTTAAATAAACTTAACTTGTCATGCTATCCTTGAGACATAAGTGCCTCAAATCAATGACTCATTGATTTTAAACAGCCGAGAGCGGCAAAACGAGAAAAATATATAGCCAAATTATATTCGCGCTAGATTTTATTCACAATGACTTAAGAATTGTTTTCCTTGATGTCTGAAGGTGAAATTATCCAGAAAGTAAAATCACAAATGCACGTGTAGGAAAGACGCTCTCTAGAGAGAAGCTTATTATTAAGGAATATTTAAGCTTATCAGAAACTGATCACTTGCCTGTTTCATTTTGTGATGGCGCCGGTTTCTTTTCCGTGTCTTCATCTTCGTCGTCCCAGTTTTCCTAAAAACGATACGTGTTTTGAGTCAATCCTGTCCCACCCTTGTTGATCTCTTGGTAACAAAGAATTCAAAAGGAAATTCTACGTTTTATAAAATACGAAGATAAGAATTTTTCTCTTGCCTTAACATCGTTGTCGTCCTCGTCTTCACCTTCCCATTTGTCTGATTTGTTAACAGAAAATTCCTGCGGCTCAAAGTCCTCGTCATCTGTAACGTTTGAAACAGATTTAAAGAGAATAAGTGAACGGCTAAATTATGTTCATCGTGCTTCATGTGAAACTAAACTCACCCCAATCCGCCATTTTGGTTTCTATTATCGCGCGCATGGCTGTATGGGTATTAGATAATCATTGCGCAATTTTGAACTTCGCGCTGGACTGGTAAAGCGGAAAGTGTGGCGTAGTTCCCTTAGTTTGTATAAGAGATTTTTAGCATGATTCTCTGACGGTTCGAGAATAAACAGTGTCCGAGGACCGTCTGAGAACTGAAGGCTGGGGCTCACAGGTTTATGCAAACAGATGCCATTCCCGCTCTGATTTCACGTTAAGACTCATGTATGGAGTTACCCACCCTAGAAGTTCCTCCTTTCGATTTGACATCACAATTGAGCTGCGTTCGCACCAGTAGAAGATGGAAAAATCAATAGGGCCAGGATAGTTTTCCCTTTTTTATTGATTTGTGTCTTTATTTCCTTTCTCTGCCGTAAGAATTCCAAAGGATCAGCTTCCCGATTTTATTTAGTATTTCACAAGTGCCAAAGATCGCAAATGAGCGTCCCTGTACATACAGTAAGGAGTTTGAGAAAACTTCACTGACGGCAGCGTCACTAAACAAAAAATTTAATGAGCAGAACAATGGCTGTGCGAGTGCGTATAACTCTTGGTAAATTTCTGTGCCGTTCTCTGCAAAACAACAACGTGAAATGACCAAATTCTGCGATGTGGGGAAAACTTGAGCCACGACGGATGACACGTTCTCCTTCAATCGGAAAACGTTTCTGACTTGGGAGGTATAACAAAGTTACCTAAACTCCCAAGTAGTTTTATGAATAAAGACAAACCCACGCACCTTGCTACAGGTGCTTCAGGTGTGTGTTTCCTTGGTTCCCGAGAGGTTTTTAGGCCGATTTATGACAATTAAGCTTGTTTTGGTATAGCCTGGTTCAGATGCTCTATTTATAGCTGGAAAGCAGCCACAAGAACGTTAGCCTTCCCTAAATGTTAATGTCAGTGGTGAGAAGTTGTTGTTGTACCTCCAGATTTCTCTTGTTTATGGAAGGCATCCGTTTTCTGTGGTTTCCGTGGTTGAAGATTTCGGTTGTGATTGGTTATAACACAATAAAAATTCCAGAAATATTTTAGGTGTTCGTGAAAGCTACGAAAATTAAGGTTCGAGCAAATTTTGGGATCGCGTTCAAAATGTTTGGGCAAAGAGTTGCCTCCATGTCAACAGGAGACAAAGGTAAACTATTCATTATTTTCATTCCTTTATTCACTCCCATCCTATTTCACAAGATTGTATGCTCCCTGTGAATAACTGCGCGCGCGACTTTTTAAATCGCGCCACGATGCATAATGTGACAACGACGTTTCGTGACGAAACAAACGAAAGTTTAATCTTACCTAACAGAAGTTAAAATAATGCTCGTAACCGCTTGGTGCAGCTTCCTCGTTGCCTTGGCGTTATTTCATTATTTTTTTCCAAGTGATTTCGAAAAGGCCATGACAAAAGTAAAACCAAGGTACGTCGGACTTTTAAAATTTGATTTTTAATAACAAAAACCCTGATGCTCTCACGCGCTAGAACACAACAAGAGACAGCAAAAACGTCTTTATTGAAAGGTGGAGTATTTCCCAGTCTTGGGTTAAACGCAGTTTGGATTGATCAAGTTAGAGATACGCTAACTGGCGATCAGATGGCAATGATCGTGGAAATGAATCGGGCGGCGAATAAGGAAAACTAAGCAAAGGCCAGCAAGATACATCAAAATAAAGCCTCGCGCACTTAACCATGAAAATCAACAACAAACCAAAAAGCAGCGCCCTAGCCACAAAAAAAAAAATTATGGACTGAGACAATGTCCATGATGAAAAAATTATGATTGAGGCAATGTGCGTGATTCAATTCTCTATCTAGGTATTTAGGGTGTTTATGATGACTATAAACTACAAAACGAAAAAAGAGATTGAGGCAGCTGCCTCGGTTTGCCTGTTAAAGTAACGGCCCTGAAAAGACGACCAATTTAACAGAAATGCATTCTTTTTCACAGTGAAATATCATCAGAAGACAACAAACAAAGCTCCAAAAATGTAGAGGTAAGTCATTCGTATCATCCCAGGTTTTTTGAAATGGATAGAGTTCTTTTCTAGTATAGATAAGATCGAATAAGATGTGCGCTAGATATAAGTTAAGCAAATGCTAGCGCAAATGACTTGAGCATGAAACCAAACGAAAAATAATAAAATGTATTTTTTTCCTCCTTATTCGGCAAAGAAACCTGCCCTGAAAATATAGCTTTCCAGAACAGGGATGGAGAAAGGAATTTTACGGGCACGCAACTGACACGAAAACCGACGCTTATTTCAAATTTTTGCGCCAAAACATTCAAAGGAACAAAACAGCAACCAGCAAAGACACTTTTGCGTATGAATATGACAATACGAAGAGCGTATTTTGAGGCCAACGTTACTTCACATGTTTATCCGATTAGCGGCAGCTTAAAGAACCTGGACAACAAACACCTAAGCTTAAAGGTTACTCAATTTACTTCATTTTTCAACCAGAAAACGTTTTGTACTAATTAAGCTTCTTACTATTAACCGACTTTTTGAATGATATTTGTGACTGATTTCAACCGCACAAACTTTTGAAACTAACCCTAAATGTAAAATCAAATTATCACCCGTTATTTTCAAGAATTATAAGTCGACCGTTATGTTCCTCAACTCACTCGCCCTAAAGGTGAAAAAAACAATAAACTCATAGCATTTTTTTAACCGGGGGTTTTTGTGGTCAACCCGCGCTTGCGGCGAAGACATTTTAAACAATTTTAAGTCCTCGTCATTTTGAGAATTATAAAACCGTTAATCCCACTGCATGTTTCTCCACTCACTCGCCCCAACGGTGAAAAACCAGTAAACTCATATTAGTTTTTGTAACTGAGGGTTTTATTTTTGTGGCCAACCCGCGCTTGCGGTGAAGACACTATGCAGGAGAAACCGTAAAAGTTCTTTGATGTTACTAAGCATAGTAGTTGTACCCAAAAAAAGGAAACTTTTTTCTTCTGTTCTTTTGTTCTGTGATGTGCAGTGGCGGTTTGTCTAATATTTCTGCGACGAATCATTTGAGACTTCGGACAACTTGTTGAGTGTGGCTGCTAAAGTTAGGTCACGAAAAGGTTGGCTCATATCGTCAAAAAATTCCTCGTACTGCTGGTAAAGATCTGATAACTTTTCGTGTTGGGCATGAAGTCCAGAGAAACTAGCTTTGTAAAAATTCATTCCCATGAACATTTACTCCGAGGGTTGTAAAGATCAGACAGAATTTTTGGCGCAGGAAAGGAACTAGAAGGAATTGCTGACTTTGTCAGGATGCACGGAAAAATTGCTTTTTCCATACTCATTTTAAAGTCCAATTTTAACGGATAGACACATGTGCACATCGGGTACCTATTTTAAAAATATGCAGCCTCACTTGTTCAAAATTGTTTGGCGCTAGCACGCTATGCTAGCCGGGAAGAATTCTCCTGACAGAGGGCGAGAAACCGGGTAAGGACAACCGAGAAAAACCAATGAGGTTGCGAGAGTCGTTTCGATTTGTTCTACCCGTTTGCGCTCTGGGCACGCTTCTGGCTATTTCACTCGTATTGGCGAAAGATTGATCTCACTTTTAGCTTTAAAAATTTGCGAACCTCGAATCTAGCTCGTGTTTTAAACACGCAAATGAAGAAACCTAACCATTATTTGCAAACATCGTAATACCGACCGTAAAGACTAGAGTTCATTGTTATCTACATGAACAGAGTGTAATGTATATAGTAAAAATATACAAACTTTATTTACCCAGGGCAGTGTTTATAGCACAAAGGCTAGCAAGGCCGAGCAAACAACTGAAACGAATAATTCAAATTGAACATAACATTGTTAAGGATCCCAACTGGCCGGAGGCAAACAAGTTGGCTATTTGCAAGTGAGGCCGAGAATTTGAACTCGGGGCTACCGTAAAACAAATCCAGGTAGTGGGCCGATCGGGACTAGAAGCCGGAACCGCTGGATTACGAGTCCGACACGCTAACCACGCGGCCACGCCGCCTCCTGTCGGCTTTGCTGACATTCTTTTCTGGGGGTGTAAAAGAACAGGAGGGTATTAATAAAGAGGGGCATTCGACAAGCACAAATAGCTCAAAATAAGTACGGGAGACTGTGAAAAGTTGAATTCTGTCTATCATGAATGACTTTCCAACCAAAAAATTAATAAGAGAGGGAGGAAATTACATGGTCAGATAATTAAACAAACACAGCAAATAATAGCGTTCTTCTTCCCTTCAAAAAAAACAACCTTTGCATTAAATCGGATTATTTATTTTACGATCTACATGGTTTGGCCAAGTTCCGCTTTTTTAAAGGGTGGTAAACGCTAACATTGACAAAACAAACTACGCTATATTGGATAGTGATTTATCCAGCGAATAGACTTATCCCACCTTAGTACAACCAGGACCAGGATAAGAGCAATACGACACAAGGGTTGATAAAAAGCTTTTCCCGAATTGTCTTCGGACTACAAAAAAATTTTCCTCCTGCGAAAATAACATCGTGCATTTGAAAAGTTTTCAGTCTTGCTTTGTTTTCCCAGAATTGTCCTGCCTCTAGCTTTAAGCCTCCGCCTTTCAGAAGATGGCGAAGGGGAACAGTTCTTTGGCGCGATAACAGGTAGAGAACCTAATTCTGAAACCAGTATTTCCTCTGCTACCGCGCCACAGAAATGTTGTCTTTTCGCCATCTCCTGATCAGACAGTTTCCTCTTACTCATCTGTCGACGAGTTGCCTGCAGGCGGACAACCTAATTCTGAAGCCAATTGCTTCTTTTTTCTCAGGAATGTTCTTCAGCGATTGCCGAACAGACATCTACTTCTTCATCTGCTGACCAGACTCTTTCACCATCTGTTGACCAGACATCTGCTTCGTCATCTGTTGGCCAGACATCTGCTTCCTCATCTGCGGACGAGACATCTACTTCGCCATCTACTGACCAGAAATCTCCTTTGCCGTTTGTTGAGCAGACATTTCCTTCGCCATCTGCCGATCAGACACCTCTTTCACACGCTGCCGACCAGAGGTCTCCCTCTCCATCTTTTGACCAGACATCTCCTTCGTCGTCTGCTGATCAGACGTCAGCTTCATCATCTGCCACCCAGACCTATCCTCCGCCATGTGCCAACCAGAGATTTCCTTCCTCATCTTCTGACCAGACATTTCTTTCATCTGCTACCGACCAGAGGTTTACTTCTCCATTTTTTGCCCAGACATCTTCTTCGTCATATGCTGACCAGACTTCAACTTTATCTTCTGCCAACCAGACATATCCTTTGTCTTGTGCCAACCAGAGATTTCCTTCCTCATTAGCTGACCAGAAATCTCTTTCACTATCTGCCGAGCAGAGATCTCCTTCTTTATCTGCAGACCAGAGATCTACTTCCTCGTCTGCCAGTCAGACATGTTTTTCCTTATTTGCTGACCAGACATCTGTTTCACTATCTGCCGAACTGAGATCTCTTTCTTTATCAGCAGACCAGAGATCTACTTCCTCGTCTGCCAGTCAGACATGTTTTTCCTTATTTGCTAACCAGACATGTTTTTCCTTATTTGCTGACCAGACATCTCTTTCACTATCTGCCGAACAGAGATCTCCTTCTTTATCTGCAGAACAGAGATCTACTTCCTCGTCTGCCTGCCGGACTTTTTTTTCCGACCAGAGATTTCCTTCTTCGTGTGCCGACCAGAAACGTTCTGCCGAGCAGAAAAAGTCTTTGTCCCCTTTTATCGCCCAGACATATAATTTTTCCCTCTTCCCTGACCAGGAATGTTCCTCATCGACTTTTCTTGGCCAGGAAAGTTCTATCTTACCATTCGGCGGCCAGTCCAATTCCTCCTCGGCTGTCTATTGCCAGACAAAACTGAGGGGGAGCATTTTTGACAGCAGGCTGAACGTTGAAACCAGCTGTGTTTCCAGGCCTACTATGGAAACGATGGATGAGGCCCCACGGTCCCACGTGTCAAGCCCACCCTGTACCATGCCTTCAGGGCCTTCGGAGTGTCACACCAGACCAATAGAACCCACCATTGATGACACCATGTTTCCTATGTTTAACGAAAGCCCGAGACCTAGCACAGTTAGACAGTCGATAACATCACTCTACGGGCCCGTCAGTGCTGCTATTAGACCATTAATGAGCTGTGATGTTAGGCCTCCAGCCCTTTCAAGTGACGTGAGTATTCAGACCACACCACCAGGGCCCAGCTCTAACGTTGACTTTGATACCATGTTTCCAGCGCCTACTGGATGTTACATACCGGCTAGTATTTTCAGTACGTCAGGAACTTACGGAAATGTTTCCTGCATACCTGGATGTGTTCCTACTGGACCACTGATGAGCTGTGATGTCAGACCTCCAGCCATTCCGACTCTCACGAATATTCCGACCACACCACCAGTTCCCAGTTCTGACGTTAATTTTGACATCAGGTTTCCAACGCCAACTGGATATTTCATGCCTAGCAGTGCGTCGAAAACTTACGGAAACACATTCAGCGTTCCTGGAAGTGTTACTGTTGGACCGCTAATGAGCTGTGATGTCAGGCCTACAGCCATTCCAAGTCTTATGAGTATTCAGACCACACCACCAGTTTCCAGTTCTAACTTTACCTTTGACACCAAGGTACCAACGCCAACTGGATATTCCTTGTCTAGCAGTGCGTCGAAAACTTACGGAAACACATTCGGCATTCCTGGAAGTGTTCCTACTAGACCACGGATGAGTTGTGATGTCAGGCCTGCAGCCATTCCAAGTCTCATGAGTATTCACACCACACCACCAATTCCTAGTTCTAACGTTACCTTTGACACCAAGTTTCCAACACCAACTGGATATTCCATGCCTAGCAGTGCGTCGAAAACTTACGGAAACACATGCTGCGTACCTGGAAGTGTTCCCGCTAGACCGCGGATGAGTTGTGATGTCAGGCCATCAGCCATTCCCAGCCTCATGAGTATTCAGACCACACCACCAGTGCCCAGTTCAAACGTTAGCTTTGGCAGCAGATATCCAACACCAACTGGATATTCCATGCCCAGCAGTGCGTCGAAAACTTACGGAAACACATGCTGCGTACCTCAAAGTGTTCCACCTAGACCGCTAATGAGCTGTGATGTAAGGCCTCCAGCCATTCCAAGTCTCATGAGTATTCAGACCACACCACCAGTTCCCAGTTCGAACAGTGACTTTGTTAACAATAGCTTTTACACGCCTACTGCATATTCCATTCCTAGTAATATTATTGCGTCGAGAACTTACGAAAACACATTCAGTGTTCCTGGAAGTGTTCCTGGTAGACCGCTGATGAGCTCTGATGTCAGGCCTGCGGTCATTCCCAGCCTCATGAGTATCCAGACCTCACCACCAGTGCCTTCCAATGACATCAGGTTCTTAAGAAACACTGGCAACAGACGACGTGTGGCTGACTCTATCGCAACTAGTATCCCGAGTCTCATGAGCATCGAAACGAGACCTCCATGGGAGCCCAGACTGCGGCAACCACCAGGTTAGTACGTAAAAATTAAACTGCGGTGCTACACTTTTTTCAGTGTACCTTTTAGAATTGTTTTTTCAGGTAGGCAGTGCCAAGTAGCGCCATTTTTGTACAGTCCTACAACACATATACTGAAAGGTTCTCTTTAACTGGGTTTGGGGTCAGATATGAAAATAAAAGCGACTGTGCTGAACTCCGTATTGATTTCTTAATTTGAAACCACCCTTTTTATTTATTTATTTTTTTTGCTCCATTTGCTATCTCGATGTCGCATGCATTGCTGAGGGATTCTTAACATAATTAATCCAAATCAAATTGCAGCTAAAATGGCATAGTAGACAATTTGGAGGGGGTGGGGATGACGGGTGAGAGTGAGTAAATTAGATGCAGGAGAGATCTTATGTTGCCAGTTGCTGTCGACTTACTTAAAAGTCATGTAATTTTATGCTTTCGTTTTTTAATATTTCTTTGTGCCTTTGTTGTTATTCGAACAGGTAACCCAAACCGGTGAGAGATGCCCTAGTTATTGAACTTTAACTGAAACACTGTATCTCGATAATTTTATAAATTTTGAACATTGATTTGTAAAATTTCCGGAGTTATATTATTGTTTTTATTGCTAAAACCAGAAAAAGATTTTTTTTAAAAAAAAAAACCGTTTATCATTATCGTCGTCATCATCATCGTTTATTTTCCTTAAGGTAGAATGATACCACGGTTTTGTAATTTGTATTTCTGTTGTTTTAACTTGCACTTGTCGTCGGAAGTCAGGTTGGGTTGCCTTTCTGCAACTAAGTTTCTGAATCTTTTATCAAAACTCTTCTGTGTAGTGACGAACGGGCAGAAAGGTAGATTTAAGGCAAATTATTGACAGAATTTGCAGGTTTACAAAATCAGGATCACTTTTGTTTACAATAAAACGGTTTAATTTAACGTGTTTAATTCAGTTCGTCAATGGACCTTACAACTGATTAGCAAACAATGACCAATTCCGTCTTGCTGTATATCCTGCTCATATTTCTAACAGTTCATGACATATTCAAGTAAATTAGCAAGAGAGGGTAAAACAAAAAATATGGTTGGGTATAACTAAGTATAGTTTCAGTTGTTCGAAGATAGACAGATAACGTAATCTTAAATGAGCATTAACATTTTGACTGTACTTTTGCAAAAAATTGTGATTGGTATTGTAGCCTAACTAAGGAATTCTCAGAGAGAAATAAATTGAGAGAGAGAGAGAGAGAGAGAGAGAGAGAGAGAGAGAGAGAGAGAGAGANACGCTTTGCTGGAGATTCTAGCTCAGGATCACATGAATTTTCTAAGTAGTCTTGAACCTCAAGTAAGTAGTGTTGTAACGTGTGAGGGCTAGAGATTAGAGAGAGAGAGAGAGAGAGAGAGAGAGAGAGAGAGAGTCAGATGTCCACCTCACTTAAGTTTTGGTCAAAAAGAAATTACGTTTTAGCTCGAGGAATTGTCTAACAAAGGACTCTGAAGGGGTTCCGAATATGGAAGTAAGCTAGATTTTAATAACATGCAGAAAATATAATGATACGGGAGTTTTTCCTTCATACCCCATAACCAAGAGATAATGAAAAGTTAGAAAGTTAATCTCATGCTTAGGCCTTATGCTCATATTTTATCCTTATCAAGTTATTTTTAAGGTAAGGTATCCAGTTCTCCCGCGGATAACGTCACCACGCGCGTTGCGTGGACGTTTTCTTTTCGTGTAAGCCGCTTGGTCGGTACACCTGAGAAAAACCCGCCCCACGGGACCGTCTGTTTCTAGATCCTCCTAGGAATTCTGAAGCTGGGAGTGATCTAAAGATGACTGGACAAGGATTACCTTAGAAATAACGTCTCGGGCGGGGGGGGGGGGGACCTCTCTTGGTCTTCATCCTCTCTTACTAAAGCTTACATGTAGGAATACCTGACTCCCGGCCAACCCGGAATTCAAATTCAAATTCTAGTCCAGAGCAGGCCATTTTCTCCGCGTACAAAGAATCAAGCCGCTTGTTTTGTTCTTCAGTAAAGTAGTTTTTCCAGTCTCCCACTTCGCCTTTGCGAATAAAGTCGCCCTTAATCCCATTAATCCATGAGTAATTAACCTTTTCGTCTTTTTTCATGGCGTTGAAAGATGTTTGGTTTACAATGCGTTCCACTATCTCTGGAGGAAGTTCTTTTCCAATAAACTTGGCAATCTTTTGAATGGCAGCAGGGGAATCCTGCAACGTAAAAAGAAAAAAACAAAGCAAGGTATACGCTGCATCTCTAGCAATCTATACTGAACACAGCCTCCCGTGCATACCTCTTACTAACCGAGTTCGAGGTCCGTACTGTAAGTTACGGACCGAGTTTTTTCCCCTTCGATTTACGGCCCAAGCGCGAAGCGCGCGGGTCATAAATCGAAGGGGAAAAAACGAGGATCCGTATCATACAGTACGGACCCAGAAGACGAGGTTAGTAAGATATTTATTATATCTCTACTGTGTGCCTGACGGGTTCGGAAACGATTTCTATTCACGCGGACTCGGAAAGGCTTCAAATTTCTGACGCACCTCGAAAGCAAAACGAGTCAGTTTGAAACTGTTTTTAAGTCGTTAGCACGCTCAATTACATAATTTAGAGTATAAGAAAGTTTTAAACTTTCACTTGCTATAAAAGTTAAGAACACTTATCGATAAATCACGAAACAGTTTGGCAACAAAACCAACTTTAAATTTTAGCGGGCCGTACAGGACAGTACGGCCCGCTAAATTGCCCAATCACAGCGCGCGAACTAACTGAGAGATATAATAAAATGTGGTCCTGACTTGATTTAGATAACACAGGTACTTCGACACTAGTCGCATTGCGACCATCTAAAGCAAAAAAAACTTGAGTTGGGAATCCCACCAGGGCATGAAAAACGAATATCATACGGAATATCTTAGGTAAATCGTCGAAAAATTTAGACTGTGGATCCACTGCTGGGGTTGTATTACTAGTGTGCTTTGAGGTATCTGCGAGTTAATGCCATTCCCCGCCATGATGGGATGATGACAGCTTTTTTTCTTGGAAACATCGTTGTTTGCAACAGAAAATTTCCAGAAAACGACCAGGTTTTTCACTCACTGCAGGTCAGACAGCCAAGCTGATACACAGCTACTTTGACAATGTTATGACGAAATTCATGATCAATGACATCACAGGCGCATGAAAAACTGACGTAAATTTGTTAACTTTCGTGTTTGATATATTACTTGACAACAATTTGTTAGTCGTGTTACTCTCACCGTCTTCATTTCCTCGTACTTTAACAACAACACGTTTGGATTATCCTTGTGTTTCCACCAGCTTAACACGTGATCAAACCACGAGCCGTAGAAGACTATGAAAAAAATCGAAAAAATAAAGCATTTATCGATGGCTGCAACTTAGTGCACTTGTCAAATCAGTACAAGAGTAAGCTCACTTCAATCTACTGACACATAAATATAGGGCAGTAGAAATCAACCCCTTAATTATGCCGTTCACAGATGGCAAACGAAAGCTACCAGGGACATATCTTTTACCTCTGAAAATCATTTGCCAAACATCGTCTTCGTAGTTGTACACAGGGAGCCCTCACATTCGTTTAGAATATGAATAAAAGATTAACCTATCTTTGTCGCGCGTATTTTGTGTTTTGTGGCGGCCATTTTGAACTTTTAATACGCGTGCGGTCTGCTAGCGCGAGGTCTGGAACCGAAATAATTTCGGTTCCAGACTTCGCACTAGCAGACCGCACGCGTATTTAAAATTCAAAATGGCCGCCACAAAACACAAAATACGCGCGACAAAGATAGGTTAATCTTTTATTCATACTCTAAACGGATGTGAGGGCTCCCTGTGGTTGTACTTGTATTTTGGCAGCATCAACATAGGCGTACAGGCACCTTCGAAATAGAGGAGGGGAGGGGAGAGGCGCTGACCCTCTGGCACAAAAACGTAATTCTCACTTCCAATGAAACTGTTAAAAAAGTCTTGGTCTTCGTTCACTTTGATTCTTAAGTCCTTGTTTTATTAATGGGAAACTGGGAATGGAATAATATCCTAATCGCGGATTTCCACGATATACATTTTAAGCTCAACCAATATGTAGCTTTTCAAAAACAGAAAACGATCCTTTATAGTGTACATGTGTTTTGGCTTGAAACTTTTTGGAATGTTTTCTCTCAAGTGCAGTTGTCCGAATCATGAGCGTTTTGCCTGAAATATTTCTCAAGTTCTGAAACTGGGGGACTGCAGCTTCCCTAGCCCGTACGCCTATGGACTGATCAGTTGGCACTGCTGCATTTCAGCAGAACACGGGGAGCGCGGGGCTTATGGTTAGGAGGCGAGATGCAAAGTGCCTGGCTGGGGCTGTGGACAACATTTTCATCCAAGTTTGAGCAAAAGTTCGACGTGAAGTTAACTGCTCTTTTTCTCAAACAGTTATTACCGTTATTGCGTTGAATAGTATCTGTTTATTAGATCGCCGATTTGCTCCGATGTTCTCGTCCCCGCCGAACTCAAGGACTGGACGTGGGAGAGCGGCGGAAATCGAACCTAGTGTTTAGTCCGAGTGTTGGGCTAACTCAGTAAATGTAAGCTACTCAGGGGATGCGAAACATCTCAGAACACCTCAGGTGTCCCTGCCTTAAAAAATCTCGTTCACATGATCTTTTTTATCGCTCCACGGGCGCAGAAGAGGAACAGAGAGATACAACAGCATTGCTTCTATCATACGGACAAAATACCTTCTCCTTTGATGAATAATTCAAAGTATTCGTCCCAGGAGGTGTGTGTTGTTCTAGAGAGAAGCTGGTAATGATGATAAAATGACACAGCTGTATCTTTGGGATTGCGCATGACACAAATGTAACGTGGCTTGGTAGCCTGGTCACGCGGCTTAGGAACCAGGTCATATGGGATATGAGTCTTGAACACACGTGGTGCTGGAAAGCTTTCAAACAACCTCTCGATCATCAAAGGACTTGATGCATAATAAGGGTTATGGGGCATTGGATGAAGCATTCCGTCTAACCATGGCATTCGTACGTCCAATCGACGATAATCAATATTTCCATTATGGATAATCTGCCAAACCATTTCTTGGGTCCATGTTGTTCCTGCACAAGAACATGACATAGTGTGTATTAGTACAATGTATCCGTCTTTTGTCTTGCAAGGGTTTGGAGTAGTTGTACACTGTCGACACTGTCTATAGAACAACCCTAGTTGTTCGAAAGCTAAGGTGGATGACGCTATCCACTAGATCAATCACTATCCAGCGGATAGAGTGGTTGCTTTGAAAACACTTGTCCACTGTATAGCGATTTATCCAGTGGATAGCGTTATCCAACCTTCGAATAAGCTTCTTTACTTTAGCAGACTAGCGCAATGAATAGCACTCTAGTCATGTCTTGCTTTCCCTTCAAATAAATGAAGCCAAATCAAGAGGTACTGAGCGGCGAAAGTGCAAGGACATTAGGTGATTAATCTCATCTTTAAAGTTAATAAAAGATCTAGTGGCTCTGACGTTAGATTGAAGGCTCATTCTCGTCCCCAGAGCCCACGATCCTTCTGGCCTGCGGCAGGGATCGAGAGCTCTGGCCCGACCCGATTTTCTGAGCATGTGCAGAACATTCGTTTCGTATTCTCAGCCAATCAGATTTACCAGATTTGACGGGAAGTCCGTGAATCGCGGACTTCCGGTGCTGGACCAGCCCAGAGCTCTCGATCCCTGCCGCAGGCCAGAAGGATCGTGGGCTCTGGGGACGAGAATGATGGAAGGCTACTCCACCAGTGTGTCCCACTGTAGCAGAAACGACGGCAATCGGTACGGGACCTTGGCAGAGCTTATTTGTTTTCAAAACAATAGTCAGTCCGTGTTTGAAGGGTTTAAATAGGCCTTTCAGGTACTCCGGAGACTGATCATTCATAGTTTTAAACATTAATTTCAATTTTTGCTTTTTCTTTCTGATATAGGAATTATCCCATCCTAGCGTAGGGCGGTAGCGCTAGAATAGTAATCAGACTTGGTGATAACCCTAAATGGCGCGATTTTGTAGTTTTTGTAATTTGTCGGCTAACTCGTTTTTAAGACCGTCCCACACAAGACAATAGTAATCGAAATATGGTTCGATAATAGCTCTATATAGCGATGTAGCTGTATCTTTGCGTATAAACGGTCTCAACCTTTTAAGGGGACCTTTATCAGAGGAGATACATTAACATGTCTGGACCAGGTGAATTTTTTCGTGACCTTCTATTTGTATACCTACACACTCACAGTGGGATGAAAATTAACCCGGGGCTGCTGGCATGTTGTTATTATACTTACCAGCTTTTGCATATGTGGCAACAAAAATGTCATTTTGTCTAGCTAACAGCTGTGGAAATGTGTCGACCATTTCATGCGTTGTTCCAGGAAACCAGGGCATCCCATGAATCAGTGGCATCTTAGGCTCCTCTTTCTTCTCGTCTGCCATCTATCATAAATGCATCAACAACTGTAAGCTAATCCTTACCGCAGAACGCTAGACGGTCGCAAAGGACTATCTCAAGGCTGTTATTATAGTCTTCATGAGTTACTGACTTACTCGCTCGCTGCGAAGATTTTTTTACAAATCGTTGGTAGACGGCACTCAAGCCAATTCAATGACAAATTTGCGTGAACAAACCAACATGTTATTTGCCGGCTTAGGGTCGGTCCGTTTAGTGAAAAACTGTGACCTCGCACTTAAAAATGCTACCCCAGGCCTGTGCGACCAAGGGCAGCATTTTTAAGACCTCGGTCACAGCTTTTCACTATACGGGCCTCCCAGCGGGCAAATAACATATAAATCGCTCCAAATCAGCAGAAAAAGTGAACACCAAGAAAGGCAATACACTGTGAAAGTGAGAATGACATTTCTAATACATAGATTTAGCCAAGCCTAAAAGCGCACTTCCTGATTACATTAAATTAATCTGCCTTGAACCTGCGATCCAATCGAAAACCAGTAACTGGTCAGCGGTCGACTTCGAAAAAACACGTGACCTCGATGAGCTCAAAGCCTGAGCTCGCGATATGGTCATGTGATACTGGTCAGCCGATACCTTGATTTGACAGATGTCAATTGACCATAACATGGAAGTCCAATATCAATGATGCTATAAACCAAGGCTGCATGACTTGGTTGACTTATTAGCTGGAGTATGGTCGCCATGTTGCGCGACGTCGTCGTCGTTTTTCGTCGTAGGGCACACGCGCCCGCGATCCATGCAGCTACCCATGTTGACCATGAAAAAAGAGTTGCATGGTAATTGTATGGGAAAAACGGTTATATTCTCAAACCTAAAAAATACGAAAGAGTTTGAATAACAATAAACCCACCTCGCTTCAAGTCAGTGTGTTACGAGGTTTTAAGCCGCGAAGCGGTCGTTCAGAGGTCGCGAGCAAGCGAGCGAGCGAGCGACAAAGTCGTAAGAGGTCATGAATAAACAAGACGAAGGACTTTTCTGAAAGTCTATCTGAAAAGTAGTGAAGCTAAAAACACCTAAATGACCATAAATCGGCCTAGAAGCCTCACGAGAAACAAGGAAACACACACTTGAAGCGAGGTAGGTTTAATTTTATTTATATTTCTTCGTAGTTTTTAGGCTGAAGAATCCCATAAAAATCCTTATATTTCGACTGCTGCGAGCGTAACCTGAGAGCTAATGTATGTACGTACAAGGGAAGCTCATTTGCAAGCTTGGGCCACCTTTGGTCAGACTAGACTCACTGGACTCACTGCGACTTTGTGCAACTCCTCACGCAATTTTTTTAGGCTCTTTTCTGGACACCTTGACACCGTTTTACATTACCTACGGCAAAAGTGTTCGCTTTCTAACATTCTCTAAGCTTATGAAAAACCCGCGCCACCGGTCTTTCCTTTTTCGTCCGATTTTCTTTTCTAGAATATAACGCACTCATTTAAAATCTTCTACCGCGCTGTAATTCTTGTCCGAGTCATGTGGGGGGTCTCTGGTGATGTAATCTATTTTCAGCAATCGTGCAATCTTTCGAAAGCTGCAATCACACCGTATGGCAAATCCAGAAACAAAAGTCATGCAACGTTTAAAATAAGTTTACCATGCAAGTGGTATAAATCATGAAATAATTATGGGGCCTTAGTTTTCGTAATTAGGAAAGCTTACATTACAAAAACTATGCAAGGTGACAGGTCAAAAAATTCATGACGAATGGGACACTCTCCCTCCCCTGTAAAATTCGTCTGTTTCATGTTCCCATCAATTTTTTGAGCAATCAACAAGTCAAAGTTTATGTGACCTCGTCATAAATACTAATCTGTAAATGACTGCTATGGTTGTAAAAAAGGGACAAAACAACAAGATCATTATTTATATGACAATGCAGTGATATATACATCAAGATTTGCATACAGTGGAACCTCGATTTAACGAAGTCGCTGGGGACCGGCCAAATTTGTCGAGGGTTCGTTATATCGATATAACGAATTTGAGGGGAAACGACCAAAATGTTCGTTATATCGAGGCCATAGTTAATGATTGATTTGTAACACAGGTGACTTCTGTCACGCAATTCAATGCAATTTTCGTCACCCAGAAGTGCCGCGTTTTGAGATGCAATTCATTAAGCATGGTGGCTTTCAGTATCAATTATTTTCACTCTTGAGCAGACCCACAGCTTTTGTTTACAAAAGAATGACACTTTCAGAGTAGCGATTTAAAAATGTTGCAACATAGAGGTTATACAGAAAAAATTCTAGGTAAACAAGGAAACATTTTAATTCGTTGTATCGAGGTAGATTTAACGTTTGGGCCTCCGGATTATGTTCGTTACATCGAAGAATTCGTTATATCGAGGTTCTATTCCATACATTTTACTGTAACTTTGACCGGGACATAGAATATCGTTCGTTATATCGAGGACTTCGTTAAATAGAGGTTCGTTAAATCCAGGTTCCACTGTATATACATCAAGATTCGTGTATATTCATCAAGATTCGTCAGCTTAAATACTAATCAAGCATTGTAAATGTACAGGAACATTAAAATTCGTGTATGTACATTAAGATTTGTGCACATTCATCAAGATCCGGGCATACAATGAAGATCTGCAGATACATTAAGATTTTTGTATACATTAAGATTCGTGCACTTCGGAAAGCGTGACCGCTGCATCGATTATCGTGTCTTCAAACGGCGGATCATTATGTACGGGGTTGAATGGAAATCTTTTCTACTAATTAATTCGACTTGAACGACTTAAAATGAAAGACCTAAGAGAAAAACAAAACCCAAGAAACAACCAACTGAAAACAGGAATTCAAAACGCGTTCGTGTGGATAATTCATTCTGTTCTGTCGGCTCTCAAACTGAACACTTCATAGTGTGAAATATTTTGTTCTTAATTTGCTAGATTTCGTGCCAGATATTGAAGGAGGACGTGTCCTTTCGTTTGTTTCATGCTTAAACGAGAGTCTTACCTTGGTGAAGAAGTGTCACAGTCGATTCTGGGGTCTTGCGTGACTGAATGAATCAAACCCAGTCCACGGGGTCTTACCGGCGGTGCGGAGCCTGAGGAGAGTGAAGCTATTGGTCGAGACGGATTTCTCGTCAGGACGGGCAGGTTTTTGACGGCAAACTCGATCAAATTTAAGGCCTGCGAGCACAAGGAGGGAGGGCTACCCTAGCAAGCGGGTTAACCCTAGCTGGAGGGCAAAAGATAGCCGGCCCGGGTTTACAAGCAAAATTTCACAGGTAGGGTAACCCTACAACCTAGGACAACTTAATGCGCGGTTACACACAAAAGGTCTGGAAACAAGTAGAAAGTTAACCCGAGTAGGCGGGTTAACCTACCTGGAGTGTCTACAGGGGAAAAAGTTAGCCCGCCTGCCAGGGTAACCCTAGTATGCAGATCGGGTAACCCGCCTACCCGGGTAACCCTAACTGCCTTGTAAACACGACGAAGAAAAAAAGAGGAAATGTGTGAGTGCTAGGGTAACCCGCTTGTTAGGGTAACCCGCTTGTTAGGGTAACCCGCTCGCTAGGGTAGCCCTCTCTACTTGTAAACAGGCCCTTACTCGTTTTCTTATCCGTCTTCGTCGACCAGTTTGGACAAGAAACAAGTCGAAATCCGTTGCACGGCTTTCGCAATTGGGTGAGTTTCGTGGAGTTTTGGGAGAAAACTGCTTCAAAACGACTGGAACTGGAACGAAAGCAAAACAATCTGGGATGAGAAAATCGACAACTGAGCAAGGGTTCAAAATGGACTGACAGGGCAGGCAGACAGAAATCTTGCCACTGTTCTGTCGTCAAACGAAACTGAGCAGGGAACCGAGATAGGACTTGGGCAAACGGTTCAGAAACTGGCTCTAAAGAGAACAGCCAATTTCTTTTTGTATAACCCGGAGGCAATTTGAAATAAACAAAACTTCGAGCCATTCTTTCTTGCTTTCTGCTGGCTGTGTAACCAGCGCTTCTCAATCCCGTACATTGGTGAAAAACAGTCACCCATGAGTAGGCTCTAAATTACACAACATGACTGCAAGCAAGGTTGGGACTAAGACAGCCTCACAACAATGTGATATATATATATATATAAATGCCTAAATTTGAACATCAATAAGTAGAGATCAATCAAAACAAAATAAACCTAATTACACTCCAAACCCAGACAGTGTTGATGGGATATTGTGAGTGGTATGTAGAAGGGAGTTAGCCATTACATTAACTGATTTTATATAATAATTAAATGAATGCGCGCGCTCTGATTGGTCAATCAGCTCTGGTCTATTGTGCCAGTAAACTCATGGAAATTTCGCGTGTCTTCTAAATTATTATATAAAAGCAATACACAACAAGTTTCTATGGTTTAGAGGCATGATAAACCACTTGGGATGTTGGAAGAGCACCCGAAGAATTCGTAAATCACGAGCCGCAGTGGTTTATCAGCCTATAAACCATAAAAACGTGTGGTCTATTGCTTAAGTAATCTAATGTAAAGGGGTACCGTAAGGTAAAGAAGCACAGCATCAGAATGCCAGGCCCCAAACATCTTAATGAGTTCAATAGGAACGCCGGTTTGGAAAGCAAAGGAGACCTCACCCCTATGAAAAGAATGGGCGGCATAATCTTTGGCTGACAGGCCAAGCAATTGAAGGTTACAGCGCAGTTTGCGGAGCAACATGGGGTAGGTAAGGGGTTTGGGCGTAAAATCTGGAGAACTAAGGAAAGCAAAAGCCTGGGAAGTAGGGGGCGACTGACCTGTAAAGTCCAAAGCCCTTTTGACAGCAGCAACTGGGCAAAGAGGGGACTCCGGGACAGCAGGTTAGGGGAGGTGTACTATCCGTTCCCTAAATTGTATGGTTTTGCTCCACCTTATAGTAAGCAAGGCTCCCCAGAGATGAAAATGAAAATCTGAATGCAGTGGATGTTTGTAGGCATCAAATGAACGTGGGGAACTAACAAGAAGGTGACTTCTCCGATGCATCCCCCAAAAAATGACACTAAGCAGGAGGCATCAAAGCTAGTGCGCAAATTGAGTTGGGAATGAATACTCAACAAAATGCTAGGGGTGATAGGTAGCTTTTGGGAGGGGGGTTCCCCGTGAACACGTTTGATTCCCGTTAACAGCAACTGTAAGGACCAATTGCCTATGAGGGGGCGATTAAATTCTTTGTGCAGGATGCCAATGATATTTAAGTAATTAGGAATGGATGCAGAAAATATATTGATACAGAAGTTTTTCCGTCATAACCCATAGCCAAGAGAAAAAGAAGAGTTAGAAAGTTAATCCCCCACATAGACCTTATTCTCATATTTTATCCTTATAAAGTTATTTTTAGGTATGGTATCCAGTTCTCCCGCGGATAATGTTACCACGCCCGTTACGTGGATGTTTTCTTTTCGTGTAATCCGCTTGGTCGGTACACCTGAGCAAAAACCGCCTCACAGGACCGGCTGTTTCTAGATCCTCCTAGAACTTCTGAAGCTGGGAGTGATCTAAAGATAACTTAGTGAGATTACCTCAGAGAGGGCCAAAGGGGGGGGGGGGTTACCTCTCTTACTCTTCATCCTCTTTCACTAACGCTTATATGTAGGAATAACTGACCCCCGAGGCTCAAAATTCAAATTCTAGTCCAGAGCCGGCCATTTTCTCCGCATACAAAGAATCAAGCCGCTTGTTTTGTTCTTCAGTAAAGTAGTTTTTCCAGTCTCCTACTTCACCTTTGCGAATGAAGTCGCCCTTAATCCCATTAATCCATGAGTAATTAACCTTTTCGTCTTTTTTCATGGCGTTGAAAGATGNGTCTCCTACTTCACCTTTGCGAATGAAGTCGCCCTTAATCCCATTAATCCATGAGTAATTAACCTTTTCGTCTTTTTTCATGGCGTTGAAAGATGTTTGGTTTACAATGCGTTCCACTATTTCTGGAGGAAGTTCTTTTCCAATAAAATTGGCAATTTTTTGAATGGCACCAGGAGAATCCTGCAACGTAAAAAGGAAAAAAAAGCAAGGTATACGCTGCTTTTCTAGCAATCTAAAATGAAAGACAACCTCCCGTGCAATGTGATACTTGATTTAGATAACACAAGTTAGGGTGGACCTAGCTGGGTTGGGGAGGGGAGGGGGAGTTCGGCCGAAACCCTAAATTTAAAAGAAATGACACATTATAACACACTGACTTGGCCTCAGAGTACAGGGAATTTCATTTCTGAGGACCTCAATTTTAAACAGTTTAGAATTTCTTTTACCTGAAGACACACCCCAATAGTTTCTTTAGGAAGTAACACGTTTTGTTCGTATTAATAGCTTCATCGAATATGTGAAAAGGTTCTCTGCAAACAACGTCATCCTGAGTAAAGGGCAAAGCTCATTGGGGTGATTGAGGCAAGAATTTATGGAGTATGCGCAGTAACTGTCACATTGGAAGATCTCTAACGGTCCGTACTCCTGTTTGGCATTAAGTAAAAGCTCTTCTCTTTACGCATGCGTTACTCATGTTTCCCGTTCCTCACGTTACTTCCGCAACTTAAGTCGAGCGGAGCAAGATAAAAACAAGCTCGTTTGCGATATTTGCTCGCTTTTATAGTCAAGATTTTGCTTGGAAAGGGAAGTCAGTTTCGATGAAAGCTTGCCGTTTTACAGTATGAAAAACGAATATTATACTGAATGTTTTAGGTAAATCGTCGAAACATTTAGACTGTGGATCGACTGCAGGGGTTGTATTACTAGTGTGCTTTGTTATGCAATTTCCCGCTATGATGGGATGATGTCGGTTTTTTTCTTGGAAACATCGTTGTTTGTAACAGAAACTTTCCATGCTGAGCGGCCTGGCAACTACGCGCGCTGCAGCAACTTTCTCCCCACCAAATGTTAAAATGTTTTTCTTTTCGCGCGCAAAACAACCTGAAGTAGCACTCATTTCAATCATACTAGTATTACATTTACCTGCGATTCACCCAAAGTCTATTTCTTAGGGTTTTCGTTTGGATATCATATTTTTTTATTCCTTTCGCCGGAAAATAAACTGGAACCGAAACTCTCCTGCTCGAGCAACGAACGACTTTCTTTTGTATTGGTTCCATATTTGACACACGAAACGGACTGTAGGGCGCCAAAGGATTTTTCTTGCCCAATCAGGAAGCAGCATCAATGTAGCCGTTTGAAACTGACTTCGTGAGACTCAGTCTCCTCTCGGGGACTCCTCACGTTCTCTCCTGCTGTTCGGCGCCGTTGTTTTCCTGGTCGTTTCGACCTTACTTCTCTCAACCGCACTGACAGATATCATGATTACAAACATGCTTGAAAACAATTTGTTAGTCGTGTTTCTCTCACCTTCTTCATTTCCTCGTACTTTAAAAACAACACGTTTGGATCATCCTTGTGTTTCCACCAGCTTAACACGTGATCAAACCACGAGCCGTAGAAAACTATAAACAAATCGAAAACAAAAAAAATAATACAGCATTTATCCATGGCTGCTACAACATGGCTGCAACTTAGTGCACTTGTGAAATCAATACATGAGTAAGCTTTCTCCAATCCACTCACATATAAATATCAACCCATTAATTATGTTGTACACAGATGGCAAAAGAAGGCTATCTGGAACATATCTTGATGAAAATCATTCGTCAAACGCCCCCAAATTGCAATTCTCACGTCTAATGAAACTGTTATAATTCCACAGATGGTTATTTTGACACCTCGCATACTCTATGACCTAGATTGACAGCCTACTCCATATCTAGAAAAGAAAAAGTTAATTTTTCCATAATACAAAAACGTCAAGACAAATTTTGGAACGGCTCTTTTCAGAGCCATTACAAAAAAGTCTTGGTCTTCGTTCACTTTGATTCTTTTGTCATTGTTTTGTTGATGGGAAATTGTAAATGGAATAATATCCTTATCGTAGATTTCCATGATATACATTTAAGCTCAACCGATGTCTGGCTTTTCAAAAACGGAAAGCGATTCCTCGTATCGTTTGACTTTGAGTGTGTTTGGCTTGAAACCTTTCAGAATGTTTTCTCTCAAGTGCAGTTGTCCGAATCATGAGCGTTTTACCGGAAAAATTTCTTAAGTTCTGAAATTGGGGGGCTGCAGCCTCCTCGCGCCCCCGTTCGTATGCCTATGGACTCATTAGTTGGCACTGCACAATTTCAGCAGAACACGGAGAGTGCGGGGCAAAAGTTCGTCTTGAAGTTAATTGCTCTTTCTCTCCAACAGTTACTACGGTTATTTCGTTGTATAGTATCTGTTTATTACATCACCGATTTGGTCCGATGCCTTTGGGATTTGCTTGCTCCTGGCGATGTTAACTGGCAGAATTTAAGAGCAGGAAAAACACGATCACATGTTGAGTTACGCTCGATTTCCAGCCACTGTTCGGAAAACGAGCCCGCGTTTTCCCCCTGCCGAACTCAAAGGCCGGACGTGAGAAAGCGGCGGAAATCGAGCTTAGTGTTAAGTCCGAGTGTTGGGCTAACTCAGTATATGTAAAGCTACTCAGGGGATGCGAAACATCTCAGAACACGTCCTTCCCTCAAAAGATCGACATCATTTACACGATCTTTTTGTCGCTCCACGGGCGTAGAAGAAGAAGAAGAAGAAGAAGAAGAAGAAGAGAGAGAGAGAGAGAGAGAGAGAGAGAGAGAGAGAGCGATAACGGCATTGCTTCTCATAATACGGACAAAATACCTTCTCCTTTGATGAATAACTCAAAGTACTCGTCCCAGGAGCGGTGTGGTGAAGCAGGCATAACCTCGTAATGATGATAGAATGACACAGCTGTATCTTTGGGATTGCGCATGACATAAATATAACGTGGCTTGGTAGCCTGGTCACGCGGCTTAGGAAGCAGGTCATATGGAAGGTGAAACTTGAACAAACGCGGTGCTGGAAAGCTTTCAAACAACCTCTCGATCATCAAAGGACTTGATGCGTAATAAGGGTTATGGGGCATTGGATGAAGCATTCCGTCTAACCATGGTATTCGTACGTCCAATCGACGATAATCAATATTTCCATTATGGATAATCTGCCAAACCATTTCTTGGGTCCATGTCGTTCCTGCACAAGAACAAGAGAGAGTATGTATTAGTATCCGTCTTTTGTCTTGCAAGGTTTTGAAATAGTTGTACACTGTCTATAGAACAGGCCCGAGTTGTTCGAAAGCTAAGATGGATAACACTATCCACTGGATAAATCACTATCCAGCGGATGGCGTGGTTTGTTTTGAAAATACGATTTATCCGGTGGATAGCGTTATCCAGCCTTCCAACAATCTGTCTTCTTACGGAATGTTGCGTTACTTCTTTGCTTTAGTAGACTAGCGCAATGAATAGAACTCCACTTGACGCCGACCAGTTTACTCAAAGCTGTTTTTTCCTTATTGTTTATATCGTCGTTCAAATTAGCGTGTGACATTTTCTTATATTCTCTGGCTTGTAACCTGTATTCAGCGTGTCTCAGATTCTTGCAAATAAACTCGATTATTGCTGGCGGCTCCCTCCACTATTTGTTGTATTACTTGTATCCTCTACTTATAATAGAAATGTTTTCTATTCGGCTGAGCGAAGCGAAATAGAATAGAAGCTAATTTACATGGAAATACGCCGCCTTCTCATATGCACACGAAATGTTTAGAAAGGAAATAGGACTCGTAGACAGAGGCCCGCCCTTACTAGTAGAATGTCTAGTGACCTCACGTTTGCGTCAGACCAGGAGCCATAATCGGGGACGGAGACCGTAAGTCTTGGGATCCGCGCGCACCTACAACTGAGCAACATCTACACACATAAACTTTATTGTCTCTTATTGGGCCTTGATAAAACATCAAGCGCTGCTTACAATTCAGGCGAAACTCAAACTTGAAATTATTTTCTTTTACTGTTCGGTCGAGATAAACTCTGGTGAAATTCTCGCAAGCGTGTGGCAAGAGGAGGGAAACTTTGAAGTCCTGAAACGCTGCCATATCCAAATATATACAACTAGTGTTTTGCTGTGTTTTGGAAAAGCTGTTAATCTTCAACATATGTGAAACTTAGAGTGGAGTAATGTGGAGCCCTTGTAAAAGAAGCTGCGGAACACAACTTGGTCAGTGATATAAAGCGGCACATAACTAAATTTGATACTGTCTTACTTCACTCAAACTGGAGCAGCTTACGACGAAAACACTGAAGCAAAATTCCAACAGACAGGAAAGTATTGAGTTGTGGGCCAAAAGCATCAAACATTTCGGGAATATTGGACGCCATTTCCCCGCGCTACATCCGCAAAAATCCTCGCAGCATGTACGCGCGTGTGCCGCACGGGATGGCGCAATTTGTTCTAAAAATAGA